TATATTCTCCTGCTGAAATGGAATCAAAGAGGAAATTGATGACAGAAGCAGGAAAATCTTCAAACACAAATTAATTAGCATATATCTGGATCAAAGAGAAAGTTTCAAAGCAAGGTTATAAATAGATTGAACTGAATAAAAGTGAAAACACAGCATCACAATGTTTGTGAGAAGCAGAGCATGATGATGTGCACCTATAATCTTAGATACCTACACCCAGGAGTTTGAGGCCAGCCTGGGCAACATAATGATGCTCCATCCAAAAACAAAACAAGTAACAAAGGAAAGGTATTAAAGAAAACTACAGGTTAATGCTTCTTATGAACACAAAAGTTCTTCACCAAAATGTCAGCAAATCGAATCCAGTGTTGTACAAAATGAATAATACACCATGCTTGAATGGAATTTATTCTAGGTATACAAGATTAGTTCATTTTAGAAAAAGCAATCAATATAAACCAGACATGGTGGCTCCCAAGTATAATCTCAGTACTCTTAAGGGGTTCAGGCAGAAGGATCACAAGTTTGAACCCCATCTAGGCAACTTAGTGACTTAATAAGATTCTCTGTTCAGTGCAAAGGCCCTGGGTTAAATTCCCAGAATTGAGAAAGTGAAGGAATGATCAATATAATCCACCAAAGAAAAAAATTGTATCACTTGACACATGGAAAGCATTTGAGTCTGAGAGTATTTATAATAATATCTCTTAGAAAATTAGAAATAGAGAAGAAATACTTCCAATTGATAAAGAATATCTACAAAAACCTAACATTCTACTTACTGATGAAAGACTGAATGCCTTCCCTCCAAGACTGCAAAAAAGGTAAAGAACTATCCCTCACTACTTTTGTTCAGTCATTTAAAATTCAGTAACTTAAAATTCTGTTCATTTCAATAAAGCAAGAAAAATAGAGGCATATAGATTTGAAAAGGAAGGAGTAAAACTGTCCTTATTTGTAATGATATATGCATTAGATATTCCAAAGAATATACAAAAAGCAGTCTCCTAAAAGTAAATAATTGTTGAATTCAGCAAAGCTACAGTATAAAGATCATGACTTACAAAATAGTGGCAGCAAATCATGCTAGTGAGTATGTGAAATGCCTTATACATTGCTAGTAAGAATTTAAATGGTACAGCCACTATAAAAGAGCTTGTAAATTTCTTTTAAAACAAAATACGTAGTTGTATGACCAAGCAATTGTATTCTTGGTCATGTATCCCAGATAAAAGGAAAATTAGATTCACAGAAAATTTGTACTTGAATCATCAAAACAGCTTTATTTATATAGCCAAAAACTAATCAACCAGTTTTCCTTCAGTGGATGAATGATTAAACAATTGGCCATAGTCATGCTATGAAATAATACTACTCAGAAATGAAATGAGTTACTGATACATGTCATAAATTGAATGTACTCCAGAGAATTATGCTGGGTGAAATGAGCAAAGGACAAAAGGTTATATTCCACCAGATGAGGTGAGGCATGTCTATAATCCCAGCTGGCCCAGAAGAACAAGGTCAAAACTTTGAGGCCAGTCTAGGCAATTCAGCAAGACCGTGTCACAAAATGAAGATTTTAAAAGGGCCAGAGCTGTAGAGTAGCGATACAGCACTTGCTTAGCATCCACAAAGCCCTAGGTTCAGTCTCCAGGACTGGGGAAGAAAGAGATATAACCTGTGTATTCTATGTGACTCCATTTTATGTAACTGTCTTTTTTTGAGACAGGGTCTCACTATGTTGTTGAGGCTGGCCTTGAACACCCTGTGTACTCCATGCTGGCCTTCAATTCTCAACAACCCTCCTGCCTCGGCCTCCCAAGTGCTAGGACTTTGTTCTTGAAATGACAGATTTATGGAAATGTAGAACAGGTTGTTGTTGCCTCAATAGGGTATCTTCAGGGGTGGTAGAAGTGGGTAAGATTATAAAAGGTCAACTAATACATGTGATACTTGTGATGGGACACTTCTCTCTGATCGGATACACGAGTCTACACATGATAAAGTTGCATGGATCTAAATAGACTCACGCATATGTACTAATACAATAAGAAATCTGAAGATCAGTGGACTACATAAATGATGAGGTTAATTGTACTGTATGTATCAGACAGTATCAAGGAGAAAACTGGGTAATAGTATATATACTTGATCTTTCTGTATTGACTTTTTTGGCAGAGGTATTTTTTATGTTAAACTATATTTACCTTTTCTTACTTCTCTTACACAGTAACATATTTGTCTTTGGTCAATTTAGGATGCGTAAAAAATTTTTTTGTTAATTTATTCTGCCTATTTTCATTCTCCAGAAAGTGGGGAGGAGTTAATAAGCATATTTAAAGACATTTTGGAGAAATTTGTGAATAGAGCTTTTATACAGTAACTGTATGGGGGAGGATGCAGTTATTAGTGGATATATGTATGTTGTTTAATTGAACTGTTGCTTAATTTAAATTTGTACTTACTTATTGAAAAAATTGCCAGGTACAATGGCACATGCTCCCACCCTGGGGAGGAGGTGAAGCAGGAGGATTGGGAGTTTGAGGCCAGCCTGGACTACATAGGAGTTCAAGGCCATTCTAGTCAGCATCGTACCACCCTGATTCAAAAGAATAAAACAAAAACCAAAGACTGAAAAAACCTTAGGTCAGAAATACTTATTAAAAATATTTAGCCAGAGAGTTCCAGAGTTCTGGCCATGGAGGGATTCAGGCAGCTTTTTTTTTTTTGGTCCTTTTTCATTTTTATCGGTACCAGGGAGCAAACTCACAACTGCGTGCTTGCAAGGCAGGCACTTATGCCGCTGAGCTAAATCCCCAGCCCCTTAGGCAGCTTATTCACCTGCCCTCTTGGTAAGCGTCTGCAACGTGGGCCAGGAGGAGAACAGAGCTCCAGGGCTCCGGCATGGAGGGACTCAGGCAGCTTATTCACCTGCCCTCTTGATAAGCACCTGCAGCTTGGGCCTGGAGGAGAACCATTACCTGTGAGCCAACTTCCACGTGAGCTGAAAATCAGCACCCTTCTCCCACCTGCCCCCTCCTCCCTTACCTACTGGGGATAGATATTTCAACATCTCTTGGGAGGATGACCAGATGCAGTATAGCAAATATGGGGGATTTCCTTCTATCTTCTGTTTGAAGGCATAGGTTGTTTTCACTTTTTGTTATATTTCTTTTGCTCTATTCAGTATTCTCAATTGGTTTTACAATGTTCTATTTTTGGTTTGATTTTACAATATGTAATTGACTGGATAGCTAATGTTAAATTAAAGAGATATACCATAGTACTTAGTACTACTATCCCAGTATCCTACTGTGAAATCCTGTACCAATTTCACTGCATTGTCTCGATTGGCTTTGTTTTGTCTTGCACTATTGGATATTTGTTACTTTCAAAATTAAAAAAAAAAATACATGTTAAGACCCATGCATGTATGGAATCTATAAACAGTTTATGAGAATTTATCTTATGACAATTAATGAAATGAACAGATACTTTGAAGAAAAGGAGACACTAAAATACCCAGTGCTGATCCTGGAGTGTCATAATGTGAAACCCAGAAATGGTGTTATTCTTTGTTCAGAGTGATATTAGCTTGCTTGGGTTTATTAAAAGTCAACATAATTGAGGATATGGGTAACTGCATATATGTTTAAGTGTAGAGGATTGATAACCATAGTTCTAAGTTTTTGTTGGATAATTGAACAGTACTGGTTGCAATCTCACTGTTTGAATCCCACTTTATATGCTCCAATTTAGTATCTTGAATAGTAAGACAATCTGTAATCATCAACTAGTGATTTCTTACTGTTTATTTTTCTTTGAAATTATTATTTCTATCCATTTTCTGTTTTTTTAGTCTTTCTTTAAATTCAGTTTTAAAAAGAAGACACTACAGTACCCAGTGCTGATTATGGAGTGTCTTGAAGTGAAATCCAGCAATACTATTATTCTTTGTTCAGAATGATTTTAACCTGCTTTAGTTTGTTTAATCTAAACATAAATGAAAATATGGATAACTGCATGTATGTTTAAATGTATAGGATTGACAACCATGTTACTAAATTTTTGTTGGACTGTTGATTAGAACTTTTTACAGTCTCTCGGTTTGAATTCCCACTTTACATGTTCCATTTTTGTACCTTGAACAACTATTTGTAAAACGACATCAACTAGTGATTTCTTATTCTTTTTTTATTCTCTGAATGTATGTACTATTTCTACCTATTTTCTGTTTTGTTTAATCTTTCTTTAAATAAAAAAAAAAATTTTAGCCAGATGTGGTGGAGCATGCCAGTAATCTCAGCACTCAGGAGGCTGAGGCAGGATTGTCACGAGTTCAAAGCCAGCCTGAACTACATAGCAAGACCTTGCCTCCCCTCCCACAAAAAAAAAGTTGTTTAACTTTATTTTGCCAACCAGCGATATGCTAAGAGAAGACTAACAGTTGTAATAAAATAGCTCAGCATCCTGGAGATTTCTAGGTTGTATGCTAAATTATAACTTGGTCATGTTTGAGTAGTGTAATTCAGGTATATGGAAGGGCCTTCATAGGTGTAGCTTGGTAGTTCAATTACTTAAGCTTGTTAATGTTTAACCTACTGACAAGGGTGTGGGGGTATCTCTAGCATGCATGAAGCCTCTGGGTTTATCCCAGTACTGCTTTGTGTGTTTTGCTAGAGAGAGAGAGAGAGAGAGAGAGAGAGAGACAGAGACAGAGAGAGAGAGAGAGAGAGAGAGAGAGAGAGAGAGAGAGAGAGTGAGTGAGTGTGGGTGTGTGGGTGTGATGTGTAACTTTATTCTCAGGCCAAAACCAAGAGCCCTTCAAAAATGGTATATCTTGATCCACCAATTTTGTGTCATGCTACCATTATAGCCTCAAAAAACATTTAAATTAAGACTTAGAATCAACATGCTAATCACAGAATTAGATGATTTTTGTGGTTTTAAACTTTTCTTTCTTTTTTTTCTTTGTGTGTGTATATGTGTGTGTACAGCAATTAAAACTACTGGATGTAACTTAGATAAAGTAAATATTCTTCCTAATGCCCTGATCACTCCACTCATATCGAGCAGTATGATTAAGAGTGAAGATGTTACTCCAATGGAAGTAACAGCAGAAAAAAGATCTTCCCCTATTTTTAAGGTAAGTTGCATTGAACAGTGCCCCAAATTTTAACCTCATGTATAAAAACTACTATGTTTACTTGTCCTGTTTCTTTCACGTATGTTTTTTTGGATATACTTAATGAATTTTGCTTTTCAGAGTGAATATTCTATACATTTTGACAAAGAATAATTAATACTTATGTGTTGAGGAGTATTAATAAATAATAATTTTTAGCTGGGCTTGGTGGAGGATTGTAAGTTCAAAGCCAGCCTGAATTCACAGTGAGGTCAAGGCCAGCCTAGACTACATAGCCAGACCTTGTATTCTCCACCCTGCATCCCCACAAAAAAATTATTAGCATTTTCAGAATTAAAACATTGTTTTCTTTGCAGTCCACTCCCATAATTTCTACTCCCATTTTCACTTATTTTTCCCCAGTGTAATGTTACTGATGATCCACAAAATGAGAGGTAGTTTGAAATCTGCTGATTATAAACCACAGAATTAACGTTCCATTGTTACCCTTGATTTGCAAAAGGATATCAGTAGTTGAATATTAACCTACTTTCTTGTTTGATTCTTTGCTTACAGTACTTTAAAATCAGACATATTATCATGGATTATCATTATCTTGCACCAGATTTACAAGTGATTGAGTGGAAAATAGGCCCTACATATATTTTTAGAACAGTAGTACTTTTTAAAGTATCATATGTCCTCATTTAATATTTACATATACTTATTATTTGGAATTTTTTGCTTTTTAGACTACAAAGACAGTTGGGTCAACTCAACAAACTTTAGAAAATATCTCTAACATACCAGGAAATGGGTCCTTTTCATCACCATCATCTTCCCACTTACCTTCAGAAAATGAAAAGCAGCAGCAGCTTCAGTCCAAGGCATACAATCCAGAAACTCTGACTACTATCCAAACACAGGACATCTCACAATCTGGGGCCTTTCCAGCAGTTTCTGCCTCTAATCAGCTGCCTGGCAGTGAGGCACTACTCCAGCAGGCTACACAGTTTCAGACAAGAGAAACTCAATCTAGAGAAGTGTTGCAGTCAGATGGTACAGTAGTTAATTTGTCACAGCTGACTGAGGCCTCACAACAACAGCAGTCACCACTGCAAGAACAAGCACAGACTTTACAGCAGCAGATTTCATCAAATATTTTTCCATCACCAAATAGTGTGAGTCAACTACAGAATACCATTCAGCAGTTGCAAGCAGGAAGTTTTACAGGCAGTGCTGCTAGTAGCAACAGTGGAAGTGTTGACTTGGTCCAGCAAGTTTTAGAGGCACAGCAACAGTTATCTTCAGTGTTATTTTCTGCTCCAGATGGTAATGAGAATGTTCAAGAACAGCTCAGTGCGGGCATTTTTCAACAAGTCAGTCAAATTCAAAATAGTGTAAGTCCTGGAATATTTTCTTCAACAGAACCAGCAGTTCACCCCAGGCAAGATAATTTAATACCTGGGAGAGCTGAAAGTGTTCGTCCACAGACTGAAAGCACGTTGTCTAATCCGCAGCAGCAGCAACAACAACAGCAAGTGATGGAACCATCAGCTGCAATGGTGATAGAGATGCAGCAGAGTATTTGCCAAGCAGCTGCCCAGATTCAGTCAGAGTTATTCCCTTCAACTCCTTCAGCAAATGGAAACCTTCAGCAGTCGCCAGTTTACCAACAGCCTTCTCATATGATTAATGCACTATCTACCAATGAGGACATACAAATGCAGTGTGAATTGTTTTCTACTCCTCCTGCAGTTTCTGGAAATGAAACTTCTACCACCACCACACAGCAAGTTGCAACCCCTGGTGCGACCATGTTTCAGACACCAAGTTCGGGAGATGGAGAAGAAACTGGAGTGCAAACAAAACAGATTCAGAATAATGTCTTTCAGACCATAGTCCAAATGCAACATAGTGGGGACAGTCAGCCTCAAGTTAACCTTTTTTCATCTACAAAAAGTATGATGAGTGTTCAGAATAGTGGTACCCAGCAACAAGGTAATGGTTTATTCCAGCCAGGGAATGACATGATGTCACTTCAGTCTGGGAATTTTTTGCCACAGTCTTCTCACTCACAGGCTCAACTTTTTCACCCTCAAAATCCTATTGCTGATGCGCAGAATCTTACGCAGGAAACTCCAGGTTCTATTTTTCATAGTCCAAATCCTATTGTCCACAGTCAGACTTCTACACCATCCTCTGAACAAATGCAGCCTCCAATGTTTCATTCTCAGAGTACCATTGCTGTATTGCAGGGCTCTTCAGTTTCACAAGATCAGCAGTCACCCAACATATTTCTTTCCCAAAGTCCTATGAATAATCTTCAAACTAACACAGTAGCCCAAGAAGAACAGATTTCATTTTTTGCACAGAACTCCATTCCTCCACTTCAGTCAGCATCAAACACTGAACAGCCAACTGCTTTCCAACAGCAGTCTCCAATATCACATATCCAGAGCCCTATGCTTTCCCAAGAACAGGCTCAATCTTCCCAACAAAGTTTATTTCAGCCTCAGGTGTCACTGGGTTCCCTTCCACCTAATCCAATGCCTCAGAACCAACAAGGAGCAATTTTCCAGGCACAGCACTCAATAGTGGCCATGCAGAGTAACTCTCCGTCTCAGGAGCAGCAGCAGCAACAACAGCAGCAGCAGCAACAGCAACAGCAACAACAGCAGCAGAGCATTTTATTCAGTAATCAGAATACCATAGCTTCAATGGCATCTCAAAAGCAGCCACCACCAAACATGATATTTAGTCCAAATCAAAATCCAATGGCTAGTCAGGAGCAACAGAATCAGTCAATTTTTCATCAACAAAGTAATATGGCCTCAATGAATCAAGAGCAGCAGCCCATGCAATTTCAGAATCAGCCCACAGTTTCCTCACTTCAGAATCCTGGTCCTACTCAGTCTGAGTCTTCGCAGACCTCCTTGTTCCATAGCTCTCCTCAGATTCAGTTGGTACAAGGGTCACCTAGTTCTCAAGAGCAGCAAGTTACACTCTTCCTCTCTCCAGCATCCATGTCTGCTTTGCAGACCAGTATAAGCCAACAAGACATGCAACAGTCTCCTCTTTATTCCTCTCAAAACAACTTGCCTGGAATCCAGGGAGCCACATCTTCACCACAGCCACAGTCTACTTTATTTCACAACACTGCAGGAGGCACAATGAACCAACTACAGAATTCTGGCTCCTCTCAACCAACTTCAGGAATGTTCTTATTTGGCATTCAGAATAGTAAGAAACTCTTAATTTCTCATTATTCAATTGAAATGATTACATTATTATTTCAGAAGCAAAATATATTAGTTTTAAGAGTGTAGAGTATATTTTTACTTCTACCAATTAAAAAATAGATCTTGGACAATTTAGTTGACCTTTATAAGGCTAAATTTCCACATTCTAAAGCAACAATATTACATACTTGACAAGAGCATTGTGAATATTAAATGTGGTAATGTATAAAAATGTACCTGTTTGGGGCCAGGGATATGGCTCAGTGGCACAAGTGCCTACCTGATAAGCACAAGGTGCTGACTTTGATTCCTAGTACCCCCCAAAAACGTATATGTTTGACATTTTAAGCTATAAACCTGAAAGAAAAGTGAAATAACAATGATAGATAATGTCTCAGCCAATTAAAGTAGTTTGTAAAGAAGCAGGCACCTATCTTTAATGTTCCTTTATTAGGGAAGAAGTACATAGGAGTTAAGGTGTTATATAAGAAAAATTGTGTTTTTGTACTACTTAGAGCAAACCTAAAATGAGTCCCAGAATCATTCCTTGAAAACTGTTTTCTCAGACTGTTAGCTGCCTCACTTTTAGTAATTTACTGGATAAAAACACAATTACAAATATCCCATGACAATTAATTTTCTCATGAATCTTAACTAATCATGTAGCTTCTGTTTTCAATGTCTCTGCAGACTGTAGTCAGCTTTTAACCCCTGGACCAGGTGCACTGCCAGAGCAGTTGATGGCCATAAGTCAGCCTGGCCAACCACAAAATGAAGGCCAGTCACCTGTGACAACACTTCTTTCTCAGCAAATGCCAGAGAATTCTCCACTGGCGTCCTCTATAAATACCAACCAGAACATTGAAAAGATTGATTTGCTTGTTTCTTTGCAAAACCAAGGAAACAATTTGACTGGCTCCTTTTAACTGGATATGTAAGTATTTATATTTTGACTTCTTATGGAAAAGCAGCAATATATTGTTTTCTTATCAATTTTGGTTAAATTAAAGCACTGCTTAGATTATATTAAAATACTGCTTTCTCACAAGATGGTAAATTACTCTGAATGATACCTTATGCTCATATTGTTAATATTGGACATTTCTTTTGGCTCTATACTTTTTTTGTCTAGGAATCACATAAATCTGATGAGTACAAATTGTGTTTCCTTCATACTATATATTAGATATGACCATGTCTCATTTCTGTTTTCTTCAAGAGCTATTGAGTGAGAAAAGTAAGTGGAAAAATAAATACAATAAAGCTCCACTTATATAGCCTTATAATGTACTTGCATTCTTTCAGGGAGACACACTTTAATAATTTCTTCCTTGGGAAGAAAATGTTAAATGAGAAAGGGAACAAAGAAGGGGGAAGGGGAAAAGCAGAAAAGAATGAAAAAAAATAAGAGGAAAAAAGTGGAGGGGCTTGAGCCAGGCGTAGTGGCTCACACCTGTAACTCCAGCACTCAAGAGGCTGAGGTAGGAGGATCGTTGCAAGTTGGAGACCAGCCTAGGCTACAAAGTGAGCCCAAGGCCAGCCTGAACTGCATAGCGAGACCCTGTCTCAGAAAGACCAAAAAAAAAAAAAAAAGGTAGAGGGGCTGGGGACATAGCTCAGTAGCACAGCACCTGTCTGGCTAGCACAAAGCCCTGAGTTTGATTCCCGGCTCCAAAAAAAAAAAAAAAAAAAGGAAATAAAAATTTTTGTAAATAAGGAGGGAAGAAGGTTTGAAGCGAGGAGGAAAATGGAAAAAAAATAAGCAAGATACATCATCTCCAGGTACTAATTCCCTATGCTAGATGTTACTATGTATATCTAAAGTGTACAGGGGCTAGAGATAGAGAGATTATTGTTAGATCACTTCCCTAATATGTGCAAGACTCTAGGTTCAATCTTCAGCACTGCCAAAAAAAAGTAAAATGTACCAGTAAAAAAAGAAAAATACGCTTTCCCTTCCTATTAGTTATACTGAATTTTTCTCCTCTTCCCCTTTTTTCTTAGAAATCCCTGGGAAAAACAGTCGTGATTCCAAGATGTCCTGAGATCGTGTGGTTCTGTGAAGTGTACTGAACTATATTACTTTAAAAACAAAACAAAAAAACTTGAGTACATGGATAGATTTTGTTTTTACTGTAAAAGAACATACCTGTGCTGCCTTTTGCAGTAATTAACTACCATTGTTAACATTGTCATATTTTATATTTCTGATAACAGTGATGACTGAGAATCTGTTTCAATTTCGGACTGAAATAAGTGTTGCCACTTTCCTAGGCACAGTTTCTTTAAAAGTGCAGTTAAAATTCAAAATTGAACCACTCAGTTGTTATTGCTATTAGAAAATAATATTTGTCATGTTTACTTTTATTATTTTCTTTATTGCATTATTTTAGTCACACAAAGGTTTATAAAAAGGTAAAGTTCATTAATAACTAAGGCTATTTTGTTGTTGTTGTTATATATGAAAGGTACAGCTGGTGGCCAAAGTGAAGGAATTTTTCAGTTTTTATGGAGAAACTGAGGGGGTAACATTCCAAGAAGCTGTATTAAGAACTCTACACAATAAAAGGACTCTGAATTAAATATTAAAGTAGATGATGACACGCTTTACAAAACTAGGGACAGCTGGAATGCTATTGATTTTATCTGTCAGAGAGTTCTATTGAGGTTTAGCTATAACTACGTTGAAAATCATTATTTTGCTCTGTGAAAAAATGAAGAGGGTAATACATAGTAAATACATTCTGATATCCTCCTACAGTTGTAAACTGACAGTAATTTAGTCTGTTTTCTTCTTAACCCACTCTTAGGCTGGAGTTCTGTTTATATGCATCGCTGTTACTTTACATCTCCTTTTCCCTTCAATTTAGACAACTATTAATATAGTACTGTGACCCTGTAACAACTTAAAGGGAAAGGCCACTTTGACCCAGGGTGACCTAGCAACTCTGCAGCACAGGACAAGGAGAGCTCTTTAAGAATTACTGGGAACTGATTGCTGAGAAAACTGCATCTATCCCTCACTCCCACCCCATCCTCATGAACGGTGCTGTTCTGAAGTCTTTAAAATTTCCCGTCTAACAGAAAACAGTGTAGTGCTTGCTTCAGCAGCACATATAATATAGAAAACAGTATCCATTTTCATTTAAAAAACAAATCCAAACTAAAATTTCTTGAAACATCACTTTTCTCTGAGCTGCAGTGAATATAATTCACTTGTCACCTCAGTGCTTTAAAGTTTAAGAGGTCACTTACCTGATGGCTCCCATAAGCCTTAGGCTTTATAGGGTCATATCATGGACTTAAAATGAAATGTACTAACTTGTGTTACATCTATAAAGAGCAAAATAACACACTCCAGAACTTACAGATGTAGCGTTAGTTATACAGTTTGGGGTGTTCTTACCACCAATGGGATGCCTGCTTCTAACTACCGCCTGTGTCTGGATATGTGCTTACGTCTCATTTTCCTTTGGGCATGTGGAAAGCTGTCAATGCAGTGTAAGGCCAACGTGTATGTGTGGCTTCTATGTATTGATATAAAGTTTTGGTATCCTTGTCCATTCATTTTTTTTAAATGTACAAAAAATAACCTGTTAATTGTTGTTGGAGGCTACTTTTCTGTTTGATTTTTTTTTTCCTTCTTCCTATTCTATACATTTAGTTGACCTGTGTGGATTTGTGGTGTTGGTTTTGTTTATATAGCTAGATTTTATCCTTTTTGTGTTATCTCCCTTTGTTCTTTGAATGTGCTCTTCTTCTGTTTTTCTGTTTATTCTCCTCCATATTTCCTTCCACTCCCCCGCCCTTTCTTTCTTTCTCTCTCTGATTGAGAGGCATTGAATTACGTTTTCAGTAGTACAGGCTTCTTGCCGATATGAAGGGAACTTTTCAGAAAGAGACCTACTCTGGGTCATTTAATTTTGAATACAGTTTTCAATCGTTCAAGTTTTGGATGGTTTATATCTAATGTGTGTTTCATTTTTTTGGAAAGCTATATTTTGTATTTAGGAAATGGTATACTATTTTGCTATTTGTACTGAGTGAGTACATTGGCATAAATATAGAAATTTATATATATACATATATATAAACTATTCTTTTTTTGCCACACATTTTTGTGGTAAATTTGTGAGTTTGTCTGATGTTCTACCACAACGTGGCGTCTGATAACAGTGAGGGGGGGTTTGTTATGTCTTTATTGCGTATTTAAGTACCTTTTGAAACAATGACCTGTTCATCCGTAGCCATTCCATCAGGCAGTTCTTGATGTTATTAGTGAGCTGAAGGCAGCTTCCTGTGTTTGCTGCATCTTTCAGTCAGCAAAAAGTTAATGAGTGAGGAAACCTATTGAGACAGTTGTGTCAATTGGTATTTCACAAGAATGAGCCATTCAGCCTTTGCTCACTATGTAATATTTTATTATTGTAATAGTTAATTGGCTTTCTGTATTCTATGCCTTTTATTTATAAAAACACTAAAAAATCCCATGTTTGTAATTTTAATAACATTTTCCCCATCTTGTAATATTCAGAGCTACTTTATAAATTCTATGCACCAAAAGTATTTTTCTCAATGTATCTCTTTCCCTGTCCCCTATTAGGAAAAATTACTCAGTGTAGTTCAGGTTATGAGAAGGATCAGCCACACAATCCAGTGCTTCAGTTTTAAAATGTAAAACTGTAACCCTAGAGGGCTGCGTATAATGCAAGCAAGCTCAGCAGGTATTAAAAAGAAAGAATTTTTTAAACACTATATTTTATCTCTGAATTTTCTTCTGAGATTATGTAGGATACTCAAGAAGTTTGTTGTTTGTTCATCAATTTGATTAGATTGTGTGTCAATACTGCACCATGAGTGAAGTGGTGGCAAGAAGACTGGCTTGTGTGGTGCTTCTGTTCTGTGCTTTAGCAAGAGGTTTATCCTTACAAAATAGGGGTTGGCAAAGCCAAGTCACTGGGACCAATTTTCTGTTTTATAATATCTAGGTTTGGAACAGAACATACACCTGAACTGTAGTGGTTGGATTGGATGGAGGCATAAAACCCAATTTTTATTCTCATACATTTTGTGGTTATTTATACAAGGGCTGTGATACGCTACCATATTCTTAATCCATAATGATAGTTTGTTTCTTGGTTTTTTTGTTTTTTAAACATTGTTAAATGTTCCTTACCCCTAAATGTCAATGTTAAGTTCCACATTCTGAATATATGATTTGGTTACAAAGAGTATTTGTCTTTTTATTGAAGAATTAGCTCAGTGGTTGATACTTTTGTTAATAAGGCAGTTTCCTAGTTACTGTTACAAGTTCCAGGTAGAAACTGTAGAAAACTCAGTGAGCCAGCAAAGGCCTTGGAAACAACAATTTATTAATTTATGGCAGAAAGACCAAAATAAACTGTGAGCCACATTTTTTTATGCTGTTACGTTCAGTTACTCTTGCTTTCAGCAACTCATACAAATGCTTGGAGCTTATCTTTCTGTCTCTATGTGAGTTATTCCTTATCATTCCATTATATATCTATACCAGTAGAAGATCATTAGAACTCATATTTTGCTTCTGAGTTATAGTAATGTGATAAAAGTATAGTGTTACTTATGATTTGGAAGACCATGTTGTTATTTAACCAGCAAAAATCTAATTTTCCCAGATTCCCTAGAACAGGTCTTAAAGGGATTATAGAAGCAGTATTTGTAAGGGATCTTCCTTCCTCTTCTCCCCTCTCCTCCTTCCTTCCCCCTCATTTTCCTTCTATCATCCTTTGCTTTTTAAAAAATATAATGTGCTTGAAATTTCATTACAATATATTTCTTGCCCATCAAAACCTTGGCTAATGTACCAAGGAAAAAATAATGTCAAAGGAAATAAGGAAGATGATGTATCTGTCCCTTCAGAACTAAAACAATTCCTTTTGACCTTGTAAACCATTATAAATGCTTGTTTTAGAAAAGTGAAGTTTGTTAGACACATCAACAAAGGAAAAACAGAATAACTTGATATAGTAGGGCCAGGGATTTATCTCAGTGGCATAAATGCCTGCCTGGAAAGTATGAGGTCATGTGTTCGATCCTTGGTACAAAAAAAAAAAAAAAAAACCAAACCTGAGGGGCTGGGGATTTAGCTTAGCGGCATTAGCACCTGCCTTGCCGCTATCGATCCTCGGTACCGATAAAAAAGGAAAAAGAAAAAAACCTGATGTGCTAATTAAATTAATAAATTTGACAGAGGTATAAATATTAGGAATAATCTGAGAAGCTTTTATCCTTTCTGGTAAAGTTTTTCTGGTCTGATGTCTTATTTCCTAACTGATCATTTACTTGTTCTTGTTTTTGTTTTTGTTTTTGATACCAGGGATCGAACTCACCACCTTGCACTTAACCAAGCAAGCGCTTGAACCACTAGAGCTAAATCCCTGACCTGATTATTTAAAACTAATTGGAAAGCTGGGGATGTACTCAGCAGCACAGTCCCTGCCTGACAAATATGAGGTCCTGAGTTCAATTCCTGCTACCCACAAAATATTAAAATAAAGTTAAATAAGCCTAATTGGAAATTATGAGACCTATTTACTTTGAATCTTGACTTTAGGTTTCATCTCTTACCAAAGCAACCATTTTATATCTGCATGCCTTTGGCTATTAGAAAGGACTTAATGAAATAGAAACTGTGAATGAGCAAATAAATTAAAAAAGTAACTCAGGGCTGTGCATAGCTCAGTGGTAGAGCATTTGATTAGCATGTGCCAGACTCTGTGTTTCATACCCAGAATTACCAAAAGTAAAAAGAAACAAAGAAGTTTTCCTTTCTGCCTGTTTGTGTCACTAGAGCTAAATTGCAGAGGTATCATTCATAAGTATGAGGGTCTACAGTACCATTTGTGATACTCAGAAATGCTGTAATTTTTAAAATCTCTTTATTTTCATATTATTTTAAGTGTCATTTATTAATAAAATTCTGTTTTTACTCCACTTGTTCTTTCTGGAGATTTTTACATTAATATTTTATATCTAGATGAAATTGTTTATGGAAAAGTGCCTTTTACTGTGATAGTACCCTTTTCTTATATCATTTTTCACCATTACCAAAAACATGTAAAAAACTGGTCTTTTATGAAGTCTCGATTGTCACCTCATAAGTTCCTTTAACTTAATAGCAGCAGAGATCCATTGCTAGATTTGGTCCTTAGGGGAGAATAAGTAAAAGATTGCTGTTTATGTAAAGTAACTATCAATTTGTCTTCATCTCAACAAACTAACAATAGGTCTTTCCTGAATACTAGTGAAATTTTCACTATGTATATGAGAGGACATGTACACAAATGGGTGGAAATTTCAGAAAGGAACTATATAAAGCACCTGTTTGAGCCAGGTGTGATGGCACACCCCTGTAATCCTAGCACTCAGGAGGGTGAGGCAGGAGAATCACTGCAAGTTTGAGGCCTGCCGAGGCCACAAAGTGAGTTTAAGACCTACTTGAACTGCTTAACTGCATAACTTTTTTTATGATCTTAATTAGATGGATGAAAATAAATCACTAAAACATAAGATAGACAAGGCCTGACAGTATCAGCTTTTCTGCACTTAGAGTTTGTTTTTTGGATTTTGTTTTGTAGTTCAAGATGGCCTTGAGGCAATCCTCATACCTCGGCCCCCAAGTGCTAGGCTTATAGGCTTGTGCCAGCACTCTCAGATATAGTATACTTCTTGCCCATCAGAGCCTCAGTAATTTGCCTAAGAAAACTAGTGTCAAAGAAAAATAAGGGAAAATTTATACCTGATTCCTTTCAGACATAAGAAAATAACTTTTACTAGATACAGTTGCATTGAGTGTCTTTCTGGGTGTTTTAATTTTCTTTTTGTTCCAGCTGCTTACCACAGGGGTGGTGCTTAAAGAAAGGACCATCAATAGCAGATTGGGACTGTAGTACCTTTGTGATAGAGCTCCCTTCCACGTGCAGGAATATTTGTGACTGTTAGTAACACTGAGAACTACAAATCTTTATGCAATATTCTTAAAAGCCTACTGACATTATGCACTTTAATCATTCCAAAGAAGCCAAAAATGCTACTTAGTGAGTCTTTCCTATTGAATGATTCTTAACCTTTTAGAATCCTGTGTCCCCTTTTTAATTTGGATATCAGACTTGGTGTAAGTGTTATGTGAATATTCTCTAAAATGACTTTATAGTGGGACTTAGAAATATAATTGACTTGAGGCGAAATAATTATACTTTAAAAAGCCATTTTAGAAACATTATAACTGATTATATATTTGAGAATGCATTAAAGCCCAGTTCCCCTTCCTGTATATTTTATGTCATTTTATAAGATAATTATAGTATGAACGTTTCCATATGTAAACTATGGTTCTTAAAATATGGTCCTCAGCCACCAGCTAGTATCAGTGTAACTTGGAAACTAGTTATCGGTACCGGGAATCGAACTCACGACCGCCTGCTTGCAAGGCAGGTGCTTATGCCGCTGAGCTAAATCCCCAGCCCCAGAAATACATGTTCTTGAACCTTATCCCAGATAGACTCAAATGGAGCTGAGCAGAATTAATAAGCCCTCCAAAGGTTGTGATGCACACTAAAGTTTATGAACCATTGGTATAAAATATATCTAGTGAGAGCAAAAATGTTTCTTTTCCTACCCATGGAGATAAGATTATGCATTGTCAAAAAAAAAAAAGATTATGCATTGTCTTTTAGGTGATTTCAGCTTATCTTGTTGTCTATAATCACTTATTGACAGTGATAATTTATTCTTCATACTGCCTAAGAAACACATGTATTTTATATACATGTACAAGTTAGTCTGGTTATTTATAATTCATTGTTAGTTTGGCATTTTCCTACCACTTACTAAAAGTTTACATTAGATGACTGATTTAAATATATATAGGTACAATGTTCAGTGTTTCTTTTAATTGTTATAACATTTAAGTAGCTAAGATATTTGATGGGTGCTAACTTCTCCTGTTTATCCATAATATGGGTGCATTGTGGGCAGTATAATACAAGCTTTCTTTTCATTGATTCTTACTTTACTAGCAGACCACAATTTTGCTGTGGCTAGATCAACTCTCAGAACAAAATTATCATTCCTTATAATTATGTTTCTATCTGAGATAGTAAGATGGCCAGGTTAACAGCACCTTACTTTCTTCTTTTAATAGATAAAACTTCTTTGAAAGTAGCTTGCTTCACATTCACATAACAGTGTTACAATACAAATGTAGCTCTCTTTGGAGCTTATGCTTCAGATAGAGTTATTTGCTAAAATAAATATTAAACAAGATAATGCATTATATAATTTGGGCATTTTTCCCCTTCACAGTTGTTAGCATCATGGTAAATGTAAAGTAGCCACAAGATAAATAGATTTGTTCATTTTTATTTCCTTATCTAATCTAGTACCTTCATAGATACTCTAATCTTCCTTCCATTGTTTACAAATTGCCAATTCGTTAACTTGTGAAAGAAAAAATTCACTTTTCAGATTAAAACTAAGTGTATAATCATTTTCTAAAAATCACCACTGCTGTCTTTCCTTAATACTAGCAGTGGAAGTTTAAGTGGCTTATTCTACAAGTTTTGGTGCTAGTGAATTCATAGGCAAACTATTGGGAAATGCTCTAGTTACATTCCTCCTTTTTTATCCCTTTTCCCTACTTTATTGCATAGTACTGTATATTCCTCTCCCCAAAGAATTGTACTACTATAATTCTCAACCCAATTTGTAATATCCTTCTTTAAAACTTTTGTGTTTAAACTCTGTTAACCCTACTTAATTACCCTAATTCATTCTTCCCACCGTCAGAATTTCATTTTGCCTGGTTTGTAGAGACTGCTTGCTTATTATTTTAGCTGGTGCACCTCATCAGAACAGCATACACAGAAAGAAACACACAAAAGATCTCAGATGTGTGAGCATGGGATTGGAATCAGACTTCTGTGTCCAATAAAGAACTATCCTCACCCAATGTGGTGGCACATGCCTATAATTCCAGCTCTGGGAGGCTGGGGCAAGAGAATTGCTATACATTTGAGCCCAGCCTGGGCTACCTAGTTCAAAGCCAGCCTAAACTACATGTCTCAAAACAACAAAAACTGTCCTGCACTGAAGTGATCATGACTTAACTAGTAACAGACTGATTCCAAAAAACTTGTTCATTTCTTTTGATCTAATGAATGTACTTACCTACTTCTCTGGCTTCCAGTGATAAGCTCCAAGTGGTTGCTGCTTCTTTTTTTCTTTTCACGACTTTTACTCAATTTCACTCATATCTTTTACTTTTAGTAAGCATATTATAAATATTTCATTAATCTGTTCTCAAGTGGTTTAGGTACCTTTCTGCCATTTTAATTTATTAATTTTATTTGCTTGAGCACACTGATCAACCACTGAACTGCCTTCTATTGTCCTGCAGTGATATTAAGGTTACATTTTTGTGTATATGGCTTTCATAGTTGGGATTTCAGAGCACTGACACCAGATATTTTTGAGTTTCTCTGGGGGAATTTCATTTGCATCTATGTTTTTAGCTATCTGTGATAACTTGTTAAATATTAAAAAGATATTTTGCTTCTATTGGAACATTTGTATACTCGCAACTATATTTCTGTAAACAGCTGCAGTCAAAAATAAAACATTGAAAGTTTTCATTTTGTGGTTAAGTTTTTCCTCAAACTTTGCATGTGTGCATAGGTGTGCCTACAAAATGAATATGTGGACATGCAGAAATCCTTGAGTACTTACTTTGTGCCTACTATTCTGCCAGGAATACAATGATACATATCACTGGAGATATATATATATATACACACACACACACACACTTATGCCATGCAGAATAAAATTGCGTGAGTTAGAATCTTTATTCCACTTAGTCCAATTACTTTGTACTTCATAAAGTAGTACATATGCATGGAGGTGCTCCTGTCTGCAGTGCTGCTGCTTCGGATAGCAAATGTCCCTCTCACGGTCTCACTCTTAGCAGGTGGCCTTCAGGAGCAGTCTGTGTGCTCTTAAAGCAAACTGTATCCCATTTCTACCTCTCTAATATTACTTTCCCTTCCTAGCAACTTTAACCACAAACACATTTGTTCATTTAAATTTCTTCACGAGGCTAGGTGTGATGGCACATGCCTGTAAGCCCAGGACTTGGGAGGCTGAGACAGGAGGATTACTGTGAGTTTGAGGCCAGCTTGGACTACATAGTGAGTTCAAGGCCAGCATGAATTAGAGTGTCTGTCTCAACCTAAGTTTCTTCATGAGAATATACCTCCAAGAGAGCAAACCCTTGTTTAGCTGTGGTGTTCGTATTCCACAATAGTACCCCGCCTGTTGGCTTTTATACAGCTGAATAAATACTGCCTGAGGCATTTGGTTTACAGCTTATCAGTTTGTTTCTCCGTTTCTCCTTTTTTCCTGGCTCTTTTTAATGTTTTTGAAATTTCCTTAGAGGTTCTGGTTTGTTCTGTGACCTTATGGGGTGAGGTCTGAAACCATGAACCCAGCTGTGATTTATTACTGAATCCTCTGATCCCATCTCCATTAGATTCTATGTGGGCCCAAATATCTCTGTCACTAGCTTAACTGGTATCAATGAATATGGGTCTGTTTGGTAAAAGTGAATTTTATTAGGAACTTCCAGAAGTTTATACAAAAGTGAAGATGATAGGCAACAGAAAATCCTTCTAAAGAGAAACACTCATGTTTAGTAAGCATATTATAAATATTTCATTAATCTGTTCTCAAGTGGGATACTGATACGTTATGGATACTGAAGAAAAATGTCAGAGCTACCCAGCACCCCATGAATAGGATCCTCCAACCTCACCCCCAGTAAGGTCTTTTTTGGGCAGGTAAGAGACCAAGTTTTAAGCCGCCTACCTGGCTTTGCATCATTTCTGGACTTTCTTGCAATGCACCAGAAGAGGGCAGACTTTGATCATAGGTTGCAATTGTGGGAACAGTGGGAAAATACATTTCAAGAACTTAAATGAGAAATTCAAGTATTCTGCCAAAATTGGGGGCGAGGGTAGAGCACATGACTAGCATGTGGAGGCTCAGTCCCAGCACCAAAATAATTACCTAAGTTGTTTATCACAGCTAATAAAACACCAGACCTACAACTTCATCCCAGAAATCATGGAATCAAAACATTGCACTAAGCCAAGCATGCACATCATACTAAAAGAGGTAGACTTTTAGTCTCAGCACTGTGAAAGCTGAGGCAGGAGGATCCCCAAGTTTGGGTTCAGCGTGAGCAATTTAGAAAGACTTTGTCTCAAAAAAAAGAAAAGCTAGGTATGATGGTGCATGCCTATAATAGCAACACTTTCAAGGCTGAGGCAGAACTCACTGCAAATTTGATGACCAGCCTTAACTACATAGCCCCAAGGGAGTGATCACTGGAAAGTTAGCAATTTAGTGATACAGAAAAATAACTGGCAGTTTGTATAGATTAGAAATAAAGGTTTTGTTTTTGCAAAGGTTATTATTTTTTTTTTCTTTTTTTTTTGTCTTTTTCATTTTTACCGATACCGGGGATCGAACTCACGACCGCCTGCTTGCAAGGCAGGTGCTTATACCGCTGAGCTAAATCCCCAACCCCTTTTTTTTTTTTTTTTTTTTTGTATTTTTGTATTTTTACCGGTACCAGGGATCGAACTCAAAACCACGCGCTTGCAAGGCAGGCGCTTATGCCGCTGAGCTAAATCCCCAGCCCCGCAAAGGTTATTACTGTTATTTGGTTTTGTCTTTTTGAGACAGGGTCTCATCATGTAGCTCAAGCCGGACTTGGAACTCTTGGTGATTGTCCTACCTCAGCCTTGAGAGTACTAGAGTTTACAGGCATGTGTCACCATGCCTGGTTATTTTTTAAGTATCAAAATTACAGTTTCCTTCTTGAATTCATTCAATGTAGCAAATGAGGACTGTGGATGTTGGTTTATTTTCTTCAAAACATTAAATTACAAGAGTGAAGTAAAGAGACTTTTATTGACTATTCATTTCAAGGCATTTGTACTGTATATAACAAGTTGAGGAATATTCATGTGAAGCTTTTTAGCCAGTATATAGTAACTGAAATCAGTACCCATCATAAATGACCATCAGACTACTATTAACAAGTTTATGTCCCTTAAGGAGAGATTCAGTAACTTTTTTTCTCTAAGAATTCCCTTCTGCCATAAACCATACAGAGGTCATTAAAATAGATCATTGGAGAGTTAAGTACTGTGTAGCCAAAGTTAGCCCTAAAGACTTAGCCCTAAAAGAAGACATTAAACTCTGCAGATGATCTTTAAAAATACAGCATCTTTCTGGAAACACTTCTGCCTGTTTTATATCCCAGTTGGCCTCTGGCATACAGATTTTGGCCTTATGCCAAAATATTAAGTTACATTCAATAGTAAGACTTTTTGAAAATATATAAAGGCAGTCTGTTCCTTCTGTTCATTTCTTGGGGAAAAAAATCTTCAAAGCAAGTCAAGGAAGCTGAAAAATACATTTGCCTGAAAGTTAGAAACCTAAGTACATCTTATTTTCTAGCTTTGATCTGGTTATCAGTTGGAATGGGCTTGCCCAAATGATGGCCCACAGAAAGGCCATACTTATTGTTTTTCTGCTCATCTTCTATCTCCTTTTTCAATAAGAATCCTGCCTGAAAGTTTAAGTCAAAAAGGCTGCTTGGAGCAAAATACAGAGGTGTCTCATCCCAAATATTCTCCAGGCGTTTCTTCCATCCCGCTAGGATTTCAGTTCGCACATCTGGTGGAGTATGCCCAATGCCATATGTCAGCTGAGGTTCTAAGACTTGAAAGCCACAAAAATGCAGAGTGCCACTCTGGGGAGACACAAGCCACAGAGATAAATTACAATTAACCATATGCAGTTCACCCAATAAATGAACACCAAAAGTTGGTCAGGGCTTCCCAGTGAGCCTCCACTTAACCACAGGAAGTCATTTCTTAAATTGCCTAGGGCTCTTATAGTGTGGTAGAAAACTGGAGAAGCCTAGGGAGACTGGAGAGAAGTGTGAGTCATCTGGACAGAACCAGGCAGTGTACACTAAGAGCCAGGTGCAGCAGTCCTCGGCCACGAGACGGTGACATTGGACACGTGCACCAGGAGGCTCAGTTCAATCGTATTCTCTCACCTGCCCAGCCGCGCTCGCTAGCTGTTACCTATTTTAGCCTATTTAACGAAGCTCTACTTGAAATTAATAAAACCTTGAAAGTTTGCCAACTTGGCCCTTCTGCCAAAAGTTCTATTACATTAGGGAGAATTTCACTTTCTTGGCAACTGACTCTTGCCAAGGCATGCAGATGTGCATTTCTCTGCCTGTCCACATAAGGAGAGAACTCAGGTGGTCACTTTACTCTTCTCCCAGCCCCTTTCTTAGAAAAGATTATGTTGAGAGTCCAGCACTCCAACAGGCCCACCTTAGAATTCAGTATTATCATCTCTGAAATGGGCTGTGCTAATCATTTCTTAAACTCTGGGCTCACATAGCATAGTCTGTGAGGCTGTACCACATTGCAGGAGAAGGCCAGGAAGATTGGAGGCCAGTATGAGACATCTGGAGGGGAGTAGGGCCCCAGGGTACACAAATCAAGGGCAGGTGTACTAGTTCTTGGTTAAGACACAATGACATTTGACCATGCTGTTGACACAGAGGTCTGGGACATCAGGCAAATTTTAAAGGAAGTCCCCAATAGTTATGAATCATTACTATGCTTTTTATATTTTGGGGGTCTGGGGTACTGAACCCAGAGTCTTCTCACTGAGTTACCTTTCCAGACTATTTTTTTTTTTTATTTTTGACTCAGACAGGATCTTGCTGAGTTGCCCAGGCTGAGCTCAAACTTGTGATCTTCTGGCCTTAGCCTTCCAAGTGGGTAGGATTACAGGGATGTGCTCCTGGCTGTTCTTGTGCTTTATCTTCACATCTGTAGTTCTCAGCTACTTTACCTCATGGAAAGCTCAATTAATGAATTCCCCTGAAGGTTCACTGAGAAGGAGTTACCTGAATTGGCCAGAGAATAATGTTCATGTCCCCATGGATACCCTTGAGTGAGTACATGGATTCACTGCCACCAGTAGTGATGGAAAGCACAGCCTTTTTATTCTGGGAAAGAAAAAACAAGCTTCATCACCACCACTCCCTGGCCACAGCACATTAATGAGCCAGCCCCAGGGAAAGGAACACACAAGTCCACTTTATTTGCTGTTTACCTTACCTGATACCTTGGTTCCTCTGAGCCAAACAGCATGACTCTGCAGAAGTCCCAGCCTAGACAAGCCACAGACAGCAAGCCAGGGCTCCATATCATCTCTGAAATGGGCTGGGCTAATCATTCTTTAATTATTCAGGCTCAGCAGGTCCAGGCTGTCCCTGTCACTGGAATTGGTAATGGCTTCTGGCTGCCTCTGTGGAGTTACTTCTTTTTGTTGGCTTTGGTTTGGTTTTGGGGTTTTTGTTTGTTTTTTTTTTTCATACCAGGGACTGAACTCATGACCTCAAGCTTGCCAAGCAGGAACTTGGGCTGCTGAGCTAAACCCCTGGCCCAGTCTCACTACGTAGTTCAGACTGGTCTTGAACTCAGTCACTATGTAGTCCAGGCTGACCTCAAACTTGAAGCAATCCTCCTGCCTCAGCCTCCCTGAGTACGGAGATTACAGTCAGGCACCACTACACCTGGCCTACATCTTGTTTTTCTCTTTCCCATAGTACTAGGCATACAATAGTGTCTAGTTGTACTCAAAATTCTGCCTCCAGACAGAATCTACCCAGAATCCAGCTGTTGGGAAACTCAGAACCGTTCACCTACCTGGAAAGGCCCCTTGTCGTACATGGCAGCATAGGTGTAGGCAAACCCTCCTGTGAACACTCGCTCAAACCAGCCTTTCAGAATGGCAGGGACTCCAAACCATTGAAGTGGGAACTACAGGACAGAAGACACCCACAACTCAGATCAAGGACAGCTCCCATCTGCCCCCTAAGCATGGAAGATGGCCTGTGGTGCTTAGCAATGCCCATGATGTCACCATTGAAAGAACCCAGACAGGCCATTTTTCATTTCCTCAGGAGGAGTTAGCATGTACAAGAAAATGAAGTCTGAAGACACAGTTCAGAGGTTAGAGAACCTGCTCAGTCTGCGTGAGGTCCTGAGTGGGACCCCAGCAATGCCCTCCCCCCAAAAAAAAGGAAGGAGAGGGAGAGAAAGAGGAAAAAAGAAAATCTGTGAATGGTACTACATACCCGTAGACCCAGATACTCAGGAGGCTGAGGTGGGAGCAAGCTTAACACGTTCATGATGTGGCTGTGACTTGTATGTCTTGCTACCAGTGGCTTGAACCATAGGTTGGTTGTATGTACATCATGACTGTCCCATAGGCAGCATGGGACAGTTCCATCAGGTGATACAAGCCACCCAACAAGACAGGCATACATGTACCACCAGTGGTCAAGTCAGCAGGAGTGACTCAAACCCAGTCTGGGGAGCTTTTTTTTTTTTTTGAGACAGAGTCTCACTATGTGGTTCAGTCTAGCCTTGAACTCTGTATTAGCCGAGGGTGTCCTTGAACGTGTGGAACCCTCTTGTCTCAGCCTCCTGATTACAGGCATGTGCAGGTGTTTGCTACCATGCTCAGGCCCAGTCTGTGGAATTTAGCAATACCTTGTTTCAAAATTTAAAAAGGCTGGGTGTAACTGAATTTGAAGGCCCTGGTTCAATCCCCAGTACCACCAAAAAGGAAAGAAAGAAATATACATTATACCATCCAACTCACAGAATAAGAAAAGAGAAAATTATTTTTCTTGTCCAGCCAAATTGGCACTCCAATCTTTGCCTAAAATTACAAATATTAACTAGGGATTTGGCTCAGTGGCACAAGAACCTACCTGGCAAGCACGAAGTCATGAATTCAATTTCCCAGTACAAAAAAAATGACCCTAAAATTACAAATATTGGCTGGGTCTGAATAAAGTCAGAAGAATAAGATTTGTTGTCCTGCAAGCACATTTGGCAACAGAGTCTGAATAACAGATGGCAGATAACTTGGCTTCAGTGTGTGAAGCCTAAATATTCTTCTGAGAGCTTAATATCTACATACCAAATATGTGACTGTCACCTGTGTACATGAGTGTGTAAAACCTTATCATTTAGAATAAACAAAAGCACTCAAAAATTTGTGTGTGTGTGTGTGTGACACTATGGTTTATCAGAGATTTCCCACAGCAAAAACTTAGCTGGATGTGATGATTCATGCCTATATCCCAGCTAATGGAGAGGCTGAGGCAAGAGAACTGCAAGTTCGGGGCTGGCCTAGGCAATTTAGCAAGATCCTGTCTCGGAAGAAGAAAATGGCTGGACATGTAGCTGAGAGCTCCCTAGGTTTGAGCCTCAGGTACTACATAAAAAAGAAGGGGAGAAAGGAATTAGTAGAAAGCTAGTTGCAACAGTCTTCTCCCATATTTAAAGGAGCTAATGGAGGGGCTAATAATCATACAACAAGACACACAGGGTTGACACAAGGTTGACAGCCCTGAATCTGCCACTTAACTAACACGTGACCTTTGCTATACAAGCCCCACAGCTTGTCTGTTTCATTCGCCTCATCTGTCAAACGATGGCTCTGGTAGTCTCAAGGAGCTTCTCACAGCTCTTACCTCTGACACTCGCAGGGCAAAGGGCCAGATCAGCAGCTGGTACCATCAGTGAATGGGTTTGTCTGGCAAGGAGATTTGGTCCTCTGTGAATACACTATGATCAGATCTGAAAACAGAACTGGTTGGCTCAGAGGTTTTAAAAGTTTAGTCAGGCTGGGCCTGGTGGTACATGCCTGTAATCCCAGAACTTGGGAGGCTGAGGCAGGAGGATTGCTGCGAGTTCCAGGCCAGCCTGGTCTACAAAGTGAGTTCAAGTCCAGCCTGAACTACAGAGCGAAACCCTGCTAAAAAAAAAAAAAAAAGAAAAAGTTTATGGTTCTAGGGGTGTAGCTCAGGGTGGAGCGCATATTGCTGTCTCTCAAGTTGCTCTTGGAGAAGGGAGAACAGCGAGCAGGAAGCCAGCCCCCAGAGTCCCTTCGTACCAACTGATATACTCTTCCCAGGACACTTTCCTTACATGCGGGAAGGCTGCCACAGCACATGGATTTTGCTAAAGTTTTTTCTGTGATTTTTCAGCAAACTGTTATAATAAACACAAATTCCCAGTACCCTTAGGTGCAGTGCTGTTGGGCAGCACACAAGCTGCACAGTTACATGGTAGTGAAGAAAACTTCTGCATCCAACAGAAGCTAAATCTAAAGGCCAACAAGATCCTTTCTGATGACACAGTGATTCTGAAACGAGAACCGAAAAGTGCCCCTGCTGCTGCCCTGGCTGTACAATAAGATGTAGTTAAAAAAAAAAAAAGAAAGAAAGAAAGAAAACGAAAGAACGGTCGACAAGCTGGGTGGTGGTACAACCTGTCCTCCCAGCACTCAGGAGGATGAAGATCATTGTGAGTTCGAGGCCAGCATGGGCTACATAGTGAGTTCAAGGGCAGTGTGAACCACACAATCACAGCCTGTCTCCAAAACAAACAAATTGGGGATAGAGCTCAGAGGCACAAGTGCCTGCCTGACAAGCACAAGGTCATGAGCTTGATCCCCGGTACCCAAACAAACAAATGTGGATGGACATAAATCAGTGATAGTGAACTTTTAGGAGAAAGGACTTTTCACTGGGTGCTTTGTAGTTGACTGAATAGTTGCAAAAACTAGCTGGCATTGCTTTGCTTGTGAAGTGTGCAGAGCCATGTACACCCCATGTTCACTGTCATAGAACCCCTGGGGCTGGCGATGTCGCTCAGTGGCAGGGTGCACGGCTCAAATGCATGAGGCCCTGGTTCCCTCCCTGTTTCTGGGGGGAAAAAAAGCCTGGTGGGGACAGTGAGAACAGCCTGGCACTTTCAGGGAAGACAACTGTGAAGATGCACACAGCCCAGTGTCTTCTCAATGTCAGATCTTGAAGACCTAAAAAGCCTTCATCTTGTAATGATTTGATTAGTTCTATAATATGCATTATGTATTTAATGTGCGGTAAAGATGGGGACAACTATTTGGAAGTAACTAGAGACATTGCATAAACAGTGAAGATCTCCAGTGGACTTGCTTTGAAACCTTTATTTCTTTAAATTGTTTCTTTTTGAACTGTTTTGTTCTATTTAACCTTACCCTCTTTAAGATAAAAAACAAGTGTGTAGGACTGATAACTATATATTTTTTTTCTTTTTCTTTTTTATCGGTACCAGGGATCGAACTCACGACCGCCTGCTTGCAAGGCAGGTGCTTATGCTGCTGAGCTAAATCCCCAGCCCCCCTGATAACCATATTACTAAGTTTTTGTTGAATCATTGAGCAGAACTGTTGTCAGTGTCACTATTTGAATATCACTTTATATACTTTAATTTTGTAACCTAAACAACTATTTCTAAGATGACAATATGTAACTTATCAACTGGTGATGTCATCATTTATTTTTCTGTAATTCTGTATTATTTCTACCCTTTTTTCTTCTATTTTTTTTTTGTTTCTATTTAAATAAATTTTTTTAAAAAGACATTAAAAAAAAAAAAAGATGCACACAGCCCCAATATTCACTGCTAAATAGCAAGGTGGCTTCAGGGAGAAGAGAGGACACCAACCAGGTGCTGCCTGCACTGCGCAGGGCCAGCTCCCCTCAGCCGGGACACTGCGTCAGCACAGAAGTCATCGTCTCACACGGCATTCTACAAACTGGGGCTGTGCGGGAGAGGCACAAAGGGTAGGCTGTGAGAGTCCACCCGAAATCATGATGTGAAGGGAAAGTTAGGGGCAACTAGGAGAAGAAAAGCTGGAAGCTTACGAGTCACTTTGCAATCACATTCCTGTACGCAAAGAGTAGTCAGCTAGACTGACAAAACACACCAATCTGTGCGATGCTACGCCTTTGTCTTGTTTGTTTGGGGTTTTGTTTGGTTTTATTGAGATGAGGTTTCACTATATAGTTCAGGCTGACCTCGACTCCCAGTAGTCCTCCTGCCTCAGCCTCCCAAGTGCTGGGATAACAGGTGTGCACCATCACGCCCAGCTAGTGCTGCAGCTTTGAAGCCATCACAGGTTTTACAGAGAATGCAGCAAAGTGGTGACTAAGATCCCACAGCTAATCAGGTGACTGGCTGAGAACTCAGGTGAGCGAGCCACCCCTTCTGAGGTCCTGTCCCCGCCATACCTGAAATATCAGAAGGTCCGCCTCTTCCACCTTCTTTTGCTCAGTCACAATATCCGGGCTCAGGCGGCTTTCTTTATATGCTAGAGCAGACTCGGCAGGATACTGAAAGTTCTCAGGGTCCTTCAGTGCACCTGGCAAGAGGCACAGGAGAGGTCGAGGCCAGAGAGACCAAGGCTGGGCTGCCAAGCCCACGGGCCAGTGGCACCACAAAAGGAGAGGGTGCGCCTACCTGTGATGTCCTTCCTGGAAATGATGGGGTCGAACTTCATGGCGTAGAGGTCAGACACGGCCACCTCCCATCCTTTCCTCTGCAGAGCCTCCACGGCAGCCTCCTTCATGGCATAGTTGAAGGACGTCTTCTCCGAGTGAGCCAGTATGATCAGTGCTCTCCTGAGGGCTTAGACACACAAGAGGCAAATGGAGGAGCCCCAGCACACGCCAAGTATCCCTTACTCTAAGGAACTTTAGAAGTGTTTCAGAGTTCAGAATTTTTCAGAGTTCTCATTTTGTAGTTCAGGCTGGCCTTGAGCTTGCAGCAATCCTCCTGCCTCAGCCTCCTGAATGCCAGGAGTGCAGGTGTGCATCACCACACCTGGCTGATTTTGGATTTTCTGCTTAGGGATGCTTTGCCTGTGCTAACCAGCTTCAGCTATAGGGGAGCTGGGTGCGGTGAAGGAAGAGGTGACTGTGGCTACTGCACATGGGGCTGCTGCAACGCATCTGTCTCAGTCCATTTGCTGCTGCTACTGCCGATTACCACAGATTGCAAGTTTATAAGCACTTTACTTAGCTGCAATACTAGCTTACTTACTAAGCTCCCACTTCTAGAGGCTGGGAGGCCAAGAGGCTGCATCTGGTGAAGGGCTTCTTGTTGGTGGAAACGCTCTGCAGCGTCCTACAGTGGTACAGGGGAACCCTGAGTAGACCCACTCTACCTAACCCGAGGCAGCACCCTGCTCATCCCAGAATGGCTTAGTCCATTCATGAGTGCAGAGCTTTCAGGATCCAATGGAACACCTCTTGGAAGTCCCCTCCTCCTCCCATGCCTTTGTGCACTCCTGGGGATTGAACTCAGGGCCTTCGCACTGGGCTATAGCCCCAGTTTCACCCCAACCATCTATCTTCTGTTTAAAGAAAAAAAAAATTGGGGGCTGGGGATTTAGCTCAGCAGCATAAGCACCTGCCTTACAAGCAGGCGATCATGAGTTCGATCCCTGGTACCGATAAAAATGAAAAAGACAAAAAAAAAATTTTTTTTTTTTTGAGACAGGGTCTTGCTATGTCGTTCAGACTGCCCTTGAACTTGCAGCAATCCACCTGCCTCAGCCTCCTGAGTGCTGGGATTACAGGTGTGTGCATCCCCATGCCTGACTTTCTTAAATTTTGAGACCGGGGCTTGCTAAATTTCCAAGCTACTCAGCCTGGATTTGAATTTTCAATCTTCCAGCCTCAACTTCGCAGAGAGCTGGGGTGCACCATCATACCCTGCCTGGCCCATCATTTCATGGCTTCCCAAGGGGACTTAGTGAGAAAGGAAGCCGCAGCACCCGCCCCCCCCAACAAGAGAAGTGAAGCTCAGGTGAATGGGCCAGGGATGGAGCTCAGTGTGCTTTGTGTGTTGGAAGCCCTGGGAGTGATTCCCAGCGTGGAAAGGGAGGAGAAAAAAGAATCACTAATGAATTAAAAGAGGCATTATTTAATAAACGATTGAATAAATGGTGTTGGCATATTAAATAGCCATCTCTATGAAGATAAAATGGTCTCCTTAGAAAACTAATGTGGGTGCGAATAGTCATTATAGTGCTTAGTCTGGCCTGCGGAAGTGACTAAAAGGATGCACAACAATTTTTGTGAGTGGGTGCCGGGAATGTGTTTTCTTCCTTTCTTTGTTTCTTTCTTTCTTTTTAAAGGCTTTCATTTGTGGCAATCCACCTGTCTCAGCCTCCCACTTAGAGCTATGTGTCACCATGCCTGGTTTGAGAATCTTTTTTGGAGGGGGCAGGTACTGGGAATCAAACTCACGACCTCGAACTTGCCAGGCAGGCACCAACAAGAATCATTTTTAAGGAAAGACTACAATAAGTTAGCATGATGGAAAAGCCTGACAGGGAAAGCCTGTCAGAAAAAAAAAAAAAAAATTGGTTGACAGAAGACACCATAAGCAGAATCAAAGGACAAACAGCTGGGAGAAGAAATCTGCAATTCTTATTTTTGAAATTTTATTTAAATAAAGACTAAACAAAACAGAAAATAGGCAGAAATAATATATACGTTCAGAGAAAAAAATAAGCAGTAAGAAATCCCAGTTGATGTTTACATATTGTCATTTTACAAATAGTTGTTCAAGATACAAAAATGGAACATGTAAAGTGGGAATTCAAACTTCGAGACCGCAAGAAATCTGCAATTCTTACCACAAATCACCTCACAGAATGCCTACGATTAGAAGAAGACAAAGGCTACAAGAGAAAATTGACAAAACTGGGTGTGGTGGCTCACGCCTGTAATCCCAGCACTTGGGAGGCCGAGGCAGGAGGATCATTGCAAATTTGAGACCAACTTGGGCTGCAAAGTGAGCTCAAGGCCAGCCTAGTCTTGCATAGCAAAACCCTGTCTCAAAAGGACAAAGGAAAAAAGAGAGAGAGAGAGAGAGAGAGAAAACTGAATGAAGATTTCACCATCACACAGGGAGAAATGCAAAAGCAACAAAAATGAACAGATTCTCTGGCTGGCTGGACTGCCAGGAAAATGGAATAAAAATTCACTCAGTATTTACTCATAAGATTGCAAAAAATTAAGACAAATAACATTGAGAGCTACATAGATTGTTGAAAAACTAACCTATTATCGGTGGGAAGATCAATTGCCTCCAGCTTTTGGGAAAGCAGGCTGTATCTTTTAAATTTTCAGGCATAAATCTTTGGCCCAGCTCACCAGTTGGGTGATCTGTTCCACAGACTAAATATTATCAAGATACATAGGAACAAGGAGGTATACAGCATCATTCTTTTCATTGCAAAAATTAGCTATGACTTGTTGCCTACTTAGGGGGAATTTCTGAGTAAACTGTGCTCTAGCCATACACTACAGGATTTGGTGTGGGCGGGGTGGGGTGGGGGTGGCTGGACCTTGGGCTCTCTAAGATCCAGTGGAATAGGAGTTCAATGGTGATTCGAAGGTAAGCAGCCAGGGGGAACAGGACTCACCCAAAGGTAATCAGCCTGCGTCACTAATTTCCTTTCCCCGTGTGGCCCCGGGTGTGTCGGGGTTGCTGCGGGCAGGGCCGGGCCCTGGTCTCCGGCTGTCGCAGGAAGTCGCCCCGCTGGCGCGAGGTGGAGAGGCCGGGAGGCGGGCGGAGCCCGGGTGGGCCCGGAACGCCTCGGCGCCGGCCAAAGGCCGCAGGAGAGGAAGCAGGCCGCCTCCCTCGGCCACCAGCCGGCCCGCCCTGGGCTTGTGCAGCTGCCGCTGGGCGCCCCAAGTCGCAGGCATCCGAGGGAGGCAGGGGCCAGGCAGGGTCCCGCCAGTGTCGCTCCTGCGTCCTTCACATCCTGGGGCCAAAGCTCCAGGGATCTCCTCGCTCACCCTAGGCGCTGGGCCCCCTTCTACATCTTTATTTTTTGACCGAACTCTGTTTTCTGGACTCACATTCATTACCCTTTCCTGCCAGTTAAATAGCAGCAGGCCGTGCAAGCTGCCTCAGCCTCCTCAGTGCTGGGACTACAGGGTGTGGGCCACTCCCCTAGCTTCCATCTTTGTTAATGTGTCTCTCTCTGTGCGCTGGTGCACTGTGCAAATCACAGGCCAAGCTAAATTAAGGAGGAACTTTCCTTCCTTTCCCACCACCTACCACTTTTTTGTTTGGAATACTGAGGCTCAAATCCGGGGTCTCTCTGGTCCAGGTGCTCTACCACTAAGCTACATCCCCAGCCCTTTATGTTTTATTTTGAGGCTCTTGGCAAGTTGCCCAGGCTGGTTTTGAACTTGTGATCTTCTGGCCTCTGAGATCACAGGCGTGCAGCACTGTGTGGGAACCATCTGTCTATTTCCACTCGGAAACCACACCACCCAACTTTTCTTCCTCCCTCTGAATCCTCAGCCTCTCTGCAGTTGTGTTATTGGGCACCTACTATTCACCAAGCACTGTTCTGAGCACTTGGGATCCAGCACTGTTTCAAATAGATGCAAATCTGTCTTGAAGGCACATACATTCCCCATGGTCAGGATTACCTGGGCCGTCCCCCCCCCCCACAGCTAAACCTCGTTATCTAAGACCCAAATCTTCCCATTTTCCCTCAGTAACCCCCCCCCAAATCCCAGCACTCTGGGAGGCTGAGGCGGGGGACTGAAAGTTTAAGCCCAGGCTGGATTTAGGAAAGGCCCTGTCCCCCACCAAAAAAAGGAAAAAGGTGGGGATATAGCTCAGTGTGAAGACCCTAAACCCTAAATTCAATCCTCAGTATCAAGGTGATGGTGAAAAAATCCCTAAGTACAGAACAGTCTACAGGGTTAGGAAACTGATGCCGCCCTAATTGGAGGAAGGGGCACAAAGGCCTTGTGGCAGCTGAAGAATGAAACGCAGTGGTTCCTTCTCTGTGATTTCACTCACAGTCAACCAAGACCTACAAATGTTAAATGGGCCACTGCAGAAACAAATCATAAATTTTTTGTTTTTTGAAACAGGGTTTTGCTATGCAGTTCAGGCTGGCCTTGAATTTGCGGGGATTCTCTGCCTCAGCTTCCCAAGTGCTGGAATTACAGTATGCACCACCATGAACGGCTTGTAAATTTATTTATTTATTTATTTGGTTTTGTTTTTTTGAGACAGAGTCTTGCTGTGTGGTGCAGGCTGGTCTTGAACTCATTTGTGTAGCTCAGATTAATCTTCAACTCATGGCAATCCTTATGCCTCAGCCTCCTAAATGCTAGGATTATAGGTATGTGCCACCATACCTGGCTTGATTCACAAGTTTTAAGTAATTTTTATTCCGATATTGCGTTATAATTGCCCTATTGTTACTTCTTGTTGTTAGTCTCCTACTAGGCCTAATTTACTAGTTTCTCGCAGGTGTGTCAGTGCAGGAAGGAGCAGTATACACAGGGTTCTATGCAGCAGTGCAGGCAGTCTCAGGCATCCACTAGCAGGCTTGGAAAGTAAGCCCGTGGGGGCTGCAGAGAGAAACAGCAGCTCACAAGCACACAGAAGGCCTCATCAGCTGTGAAAAGCCCTTCCCTGCATCTCTCCCAGCGTGTCACCGCCAAGTTTCCAACCAACAGCTCTGCCTTTCTTGTGCATTCTGCTAACTAGATTTGCATGTCAACTGTAAGTGGCAATCTCTTTCCTTTTAGCAAGATGAGAGTCTAGATCATGTCTGTGCCTTGTGTGTTTTCAGAGACGACACAGGTTAGAGGTGAGGAAACTGGAAAGGTGGATCCTGCCCAGTTGAATGAATAAATGGTTTCTAAGTCCTCGTCCCGGCCAATCTCGGAGACAGGCTCTCTGAAAAAGTCCTCTGACCTCGGCAGTGCTGTGGACCCGGATGCTTAGGGGTGAGCAAGTATCAGAACACTGGAGACTGTTATGGCTCCTGGCTGATGTCATTGAAATGGACCAGTACTGGATGGGGTTTGCCAAATAAAAGAGTCACCAATGTCTGAATGTCTCCAGGGCCAGACTGCTTGGAGCTGGGCCCCCTCTCTCTCCAACTAGACAGCGGGTTCCCCACTCAAGCACCTACAGTCGTCAGATCTTCGCATTTTCCTCCAGAAGCTGGAAGTGCACTTTTTAAGTGAAACCGTCTAGTTGTATTTTAGGTATTAGCAGCTTGCTCTAAAATGTTTTCTATACTAGAAGGCCAAAGGGGCTGCGTACACAGGGTTAGGTTTGGCCCCTCTTGGTTACTTTCCCACCCGCCGGGAAGCGCTTTTTGCTTCCCTGCGTGAGTACTCCCTGACCGCCTGCCAGGTTTGTACCGGGCGCTGGGGGCGGTTACGGTGCTGATTGGCCCCTCGGGGTAGAAACAGAAGCTCCCCTTCTCCCGGACACTGGTCAAGGACCATCCCAGGACGCGAACCTCTGCAACGTTTCAGTTTTGGACCAAGACACAAAGGCTACTCCCTCGCGTTTTCCTCCAGACCAACGAAGCTGAAGCTCCGGGGGACGGGGGGGCCGGACAGGACAAGACAGGACGGGACAGGACAGTACAGGGCGGGAGTCCCTTCGTGCAGCACTCACCAGCCATGGCTTCCGCAGAGCGCCGCCGAGCTGCAGCCTCCTGAACGCTGATTGGCTGAGCTGCTGGTTGCCGGGCGACCAGACTAAGGCCGGAAAGTAGCCGAGCTGCTCTGGCTGCAATTGGAAGGTGTCCCGCGCGCGGGGAGCAGAGCTCAGAGCTTTATACCCGCCGGGCCCAGCCCACTGCAGCCGGGAGTGCCAGCGAGAGAGGGAGGGGCGAGGCGTGCGCACCCTGGGAACTGCCAGAGCGCCCCGGAAAGAGTCGTAGGGCACTCAGTAGACACCCCTGGGTGTCAAAGTCCAGAAGGGTCCTTTGGGGGCTAAAGAGTGAGCGCGGCCTTAAAGATCTGAATGGGGGTGGGTGGCAACCCTGTCCGCCCTGTTAAGGCCCTTGGGACACTGAGAGTACTTTGCAACTGGTGGCAAGTTTGTTGGCACGCCTGGCCTCTCCCAACTCTGGAAAATCGCCATAGACTGGAGCGGGGCGGGTTGTGGCTGACCAAGGGTGGGATTGTGCTGAGTCACTGTGAGTCCGGCAGGAGACCTGCTCCGTGGAAGCGGATTATTTTCTCCTGCGAGGTTCAGCTGCAGCACTTGGGGGGCCACAGCGGGCTCTTGCCCGTGTGAATGCCTCGGGTCACCCTAGCTCCTTAGGGACAGCCAGTAGGGAACTCATCCGTTTGCTCCTGCGAGCTAGTGCTCGGTAGGGCAAGGCTGGTCGGGAGAGGGTAGCCAGGGGAGCTTAATGGTTTTCCCTTTAAACTTGAAAGGTATAAACAGAACAGCAAAAAGTTCAAATCTGTATAAGTAAAGGTTACAGTAAAATTATCCGATGAAACAGAAGAGATATTATCAAAAGGCCAATAATTTTTTTGGTATTTTTTTGAGGCCAAGAGTTTTTAAATGATAAGTAACCAAAAGAATAAAAAGGAGGGGCTGGGGATTTAGCTCAGCGGCATAAGCACCTGCCTTGTAAGCAGGCGGTCGTGAGTTCGATCCCTGGTACCGATAAAAAATTAAAAAAAAAAGAATAAAAAGAATAAAAAGGAAAAAGGTGGGGGAAGTGAACGGAGCATTTTACCTCTGGTGCAATATCTAAGGAGATCTAGGGAAAGTCAGTCATCAAAATAATACGTAGTGGGGCTGGGGATTTAGCTCAGCGGCATAAGCACCTGCCTTGCAAGCTGGCAGTCTTGAGTTCGATCCCCGGTACCGGTAAAAACGAAAAAGACAAAAAAAAAAACATTATAATAATACGTAGTATTTTTGATAGTGGTATAGGGAAATTGAACCCAGGACCTCTACCACTGAGCTTCATGTACATCATTGTTTATTTAGCTAGGCTCCTATGTAGCTCAAGCTGGCCTTGAACTCATTGTGTACTGGAACTCAGTGATCCTGGCCCCTCCACTGATGGAGACATGGATCACCATACCTGGTTTATCTGGATAAATTGCCCAGGCTGGTCTTTAATTTGCAATTCTGCCAGGGCCTCCCAATTATTCTTTTCTCTTGAGACAGGGTCTTGCTATATAGTTCAAAATGACCTTGAACTCACTATGTTTGAAATTGTGGTGATCCTCCTGACTCAGCTGGAATTACAGGCCTGTAACATTATGCTGTGCTAGTAGCTGGGATTAGTTAAGTCCCACCCAGAGTCAGAATCCTCAGGCTTTTTTCTTTTTTTGAGATAGGCTCTCCTATGTAGTTTGTGGTGGCCTTGAACTCACTAGGTAGCCCAGACTGGCCTTGAATTTGTGGAAACCCTCCTGGCTCAGGCCACCCAAGGGGCTGAAATGACAAGAGTGCTCTACCACATCTGGCTAGAGTCAGAATTACTATTATTATCATTTTTTGGTACTGGGGATTGAACTCATGACCTTGCACATGCCAGGCAGGAGCTTGTGACACTGAGCCCTAGAGTCCCGGGCCCTAGAGTCAGAATTCTTTTCTTTGAGACGGGGTCTCTCTTTGCAGTTCAGGCTGGCTTTGAGCTCACTTTGTAGCCCAGGCTGGGCTCCAACTCGCAAGGATCCTCCCACCTCGTCTCACAAGTACTGAGATTACAGGCGTGAGCCACCATGCCCGGCTTAGAGTCAGAATTCTTGAGACTACCTCTGGTTAGCCACTAATAATGCTTTGCTCTTTGAGCTCTGATTGCTTCCCCTACAGAAATGTGGCTTGGTTCTGTTCTGCATGCTCTCAAGATCCCTTTATGCTTGTACTCCTGGGCAGTCCAAGCCTGTACAATTCCCATGCTTTTTTCTGAAGTGGGCTCCTCACAGGTGACCAAAAAAAACAGTGACCTGGTGCCACCCACCATGCCCACGGTGGGCAGTGGGTCAGGACGTGGAGCAGGGAGTTTCTGTCGCCTTCATTATCTGGTATAAAGAGCAGGACCAGGCGAATCCTCAGGAGGGCCCTGTCCCCCTGACGGAAAAACACAAACAGCCTCATTAGTCATCCGCTAATCCACGCTGTCCATGTGTGCGGCTGCTTTTCTGCACCAGAAGGTCCCCAAAGTCCCCTTGCTTTTTTCTGAGCTGCAGGTGACAGAGTGTCCCTTAGTGCCACTCTCGGGCCCGTCTGGGGAGCAGGGGAGCTGCTGTCCTCAGTGGTTCCTGTGGATACAGACAAGCGGCCAGGAGTCCCTGGAGGAGGCGGGTCCTTGGTGTTGGGGAAGGCAGTTTCTATGAACCCTGCCCTGCGCTGCCCTCTCATCCCCCTCCACCACCTCTGTCACACAGGAACTGTTCCCTCACCTGAATTAGTTAGGTTCCTGCTGGGCTTAGAACACTGTACTTAAACTGAAATTTCTTTTGCAGGGGATTCATTTGCAACGAAGGAATTTCCCCCATGTAGCAACGGGCTTGTGAAGCAGGGTTGTAGAAATCAAGGCACAGACGGGACCCTGTCTTTTGAGCTTGGCCCTCTTAAATCACTTTCGTGCGAACAAGCAGAGACAGGACTCATTGGTTATTTTTAAGACAAACAAAAGGAAAAGTTAGCAAAAGGCATTTCCTGCCTCTTGATTATTTTCTCCCTGCTGGTCTGAATCATGCATTCAGTTCCAAAAACATGTACATGTGAGAAGCCACTCCAGCCCCAGGCAAACATCCTGATGGCTTTGTGAAGATGGCTACACCCAGTCCCCAGCATCTGCAGCAGAAGCAGCAGTTAGTGACTGTGCACCGTCCTTCCTCCTTACCGAGGCCCACAGAGGTAGTCTGCTCGTCTCCATATAAGGATCTTCCTGCATTATAGGCCAGCTGGTGTGTGTCTGTAATCTCAGCCGTGGGAGGCTGAGGCAAGAAGATCACAAGTTAGCTCAACCTTCACTGACTTCGACCCTGTATCAAAATAAATTATAAAGGGCTAAGGATATAGCTAACTCCACGTGAAGGCCCCAGGTTCACGCTCAAGAGTGGAAAAAAGAATTTATCTCGGGGCTGGGGGTTTAGCTCAGCGGCATAAGCACCTGCCTTGCAAGCAGGCAGTCGTGAGTTCGATCCCCGGTACCGATAAAAAAAAAAAAAAAAAAAAAAAGACCAAAAAAAAAAAAAAAGAATTTATCTCCAACTACACCAACACTTAAACAGCATCATTTAGACATGTTCAGAATCTCCATCCTAGATATGTACTGGGTAATTACACCTAATAATTTGGGAACTACTATAGTTTCCAGTTTGTTTTTCTCAGGGCTGGGAACTGAATTCAAGGAGAGACTCATGCATACAGGCTAAGGTTCTATCACTGAGCTGTACCCAAAGCCTACCACCTTCTTTCCTGAGACAGGGTCTTGCTATGTGGTCCAGGCTGACTTCAAAATTAAGATCCTCTGCCTCAACCTCTTAGTGCTAGGATTACAGGTATGTGCTACTATGCCTGCACATAATTATTCTGAAAATCTAGTTAGACAGAGAGCCTGACCAGAGTTTTCTTTTTTGTTTCCAGAGTTTGTTTTTACTGTTGTCTCTTAGGTTTTTTTTTTGTTTGTTTGTTTTGTTTTTGTCTTTTTTGTTTTTATCGGTACCAGGGATCGAACTCAGGACTGCCTGCTTGCAAGGCAAGTGCTTATGCTGCTGAGCTAAACCCCCAGCCCCCTGTCTCTTAGTTTTTAAACAATGTTTTTGTCTTGTTTTGTTTGGTTTGGTACCAGGGATCAAACTCACGACCGTGTGCTTGGAAGGCAGGTGCTCATGCTGCTTAGCTAAATCCCCGGCATCTCCTTAGAATTGTGAAGGCATTAAATCTAATTCCCTCTCCCTATACCACGGGCAGGAACTTGTAACTGCCTCAACCTACAAAATTTAGAAGTAAAGCTGCTTGATTTTCAACTCCAGGTCATATAAAATGGTAAATTCTAGCTGGGTGTGGTGGTGCACAACTGTAATCCCAGCACTCAGGAGGTTGAGGCAAGAGGATCCTGGAGTGTTCAAAACCAGCCTGAACTACACAGTAAGAGTGTCTCAAAACAAACAAAAAATGGGAAGGGCTTTAGAGGGTAAGCAGAGGTCAAGCAACAATGATAGATTTCCTCTGTCCCAGTGCTTGCTCCACTCCATGCTGGGGATCAAACCTAGGCAAGCCATTTACTGCTTAAAAGGTACCTGCCAGATTTTATAAAAATCAGAAAGTAATATACACACTGCTAAGAGCAAGATATATAGAAGGCCTACCCTATTTATAAAAAGTAACCATCGGGGCTGGAGATTTAGCTCAGCGGCATAAGCACCTGCCTTGCAAGCAGGCAGTCGTGAGTTTGATCCCTGGTACCGATAAAAAGGAAAAAGACAAAAAACAAACAAACAAACAAAAGTAACCATCAGGCAGGCATGGTGGCACGTGCCTATAATCCCAGAAAACTGAGGCAGGAGGGTCACCCTGAGTTTGAGGCCAGCCTGAACTGCATAGCAGGATGCTGTCTCAAAAAAAGAAGTACCCATCCAATTAGTGTTGCATTTTAAAATATAGGTTGCATTTTGCCTAAGAAATAGTATTCCACTAGCCTAGAACCAAGCACTAACACTATGCACATTAACACCTGTGCTGTGTGTCACAGCACGCAGGTCCTTCCCTGGGACAATACTGGGGTGTGGTTTTGCCACGTGTCAGGGAGCAACCGAACCTCCAGAGAATTCAAAGAATTTGCCCTGGGTTTCCCGCGGCAGAGGGCAGAGGGCCTGGATCCACACTTGGGTTCCAAGCCCGCTCCCTGTGCCTTCTGCTCTGCATCTTGGTGGAGGTGGTGGTGGGCTCAGGTACCACACATCTGCAGCGAGAAGTCACAGCACTGTGGGGCCGGCAGTCAGCAAAGCACAAGAGCAGAGCGACTTTATGTTGCCTCGGGTTTTTCTTGTATGGCTCACAGTACAGTGACCTTGCTGGAGGGAATCCGTACCTGTACATGGTACATCTTGCTGTTCTTCCTTGTCCCTTCCTCATTTTTTCCTACCTTTACTTCGTTCTAGGTGTTCGCCAAGTCGGGTAGGGAAGTTGGGGACCCTCTGCTTTCTCTGTGTCCCCACTGACTTAGCACCACATTGTGGACTTCTCTAGGTGCTGCTGTTTGAGGCGTTGGCTCTCCTGGAGGAGCTGTCATGACCAGCTTCCCCAGTGTGAGTTCAGACTTGTCATCGGAGGAGCTCAGGACCTTGTTGGTGAGAGTCTGTGGTTCACTTTGGGGGAGCTCTGGTCCTTACATCGAGCACCACTTCCTGGCTCTGAAGGGGAAGACGTGTGCCACTTGGGTCTCCAGGATGAACTCATGCTGGCTTCCTGACATGTACTCGACTGTTTATTGTGGAGGAGCTCGGGGCCTGTGTCACTGAGGATGGCTGTGGTGCTTTTCAGGACAGCCCTGGTCTTTATTATGAGTGTGACTTCTGGGCTCCAGTGTAGAACCCTTAACCCACCAGCACAGCTCCTTCTTCACCCCACTGGCATAGACTTTCTAGCTTCTGCCGCTGACCTTTGGGCCTTCCCAGTGCGGATCAGTAAAACAGATTGGCGTGAGTCCTTCTCGTGGGCTCTAGACCTCCAGTTGGACTCATGGTGGGAAGCACCGTCACGAGCTCTGGGTTTTCATCTGGATTCATGCAGGACAGTGCTGTGGGATTCAGGCCCTTGGCTGAATATTCTGTCTTTAGTGGTGTGGACAGATTTCCTGCACTTTCTTGTGTTAAACTCTGGGTGACTATCTTAATATTATAAACTCTGTGTCCTGATTCTAATTGCTCTCTGCTCAACCCCTGACTACAACATAGCCTTCCTTCCTGGGGTGAGCTAATGTTCAGGGAGCTGCACAGCGTTTCCAGTTTGCAAGCGCGCCCCAAGTAACTGTTCTACACCTGCAAAGCCTTCAGAGGGCAGTGTCTTAAGCAGGCGCCATGCCTCGGCAGCCACTTTACGGCTGCACCCCGACCCGAGGTGAGGGGACAGCTCTGAAGCTGCAGTTGGCCTGTCTGTGCAAGGATCCTGCCTAGCACCACGGAAGTGAATAATGTTAGTAAATAATGTTCGTGCAGTGCTCGGCAGTGCCTGAAGGCAACAGGCATGACTACAGATGGTGAAATGGGGTGTGGGTCTTTGCTTTTCACCTCAAAATTTAGTCATTTCCAGTAAGAAATATTTAATATTTATGACATTTTTGAAAAAAAAAATACCTGGCTTGTCATAAGAAAAATAACATGATTTTGTTTTAGAATAGCAGGATTACAAGAGGGTTAAACTTTTTTTTTGGGGGGGGGGGGTTTCCAGACAAGATCTCTCTTCAATTCAGGCTGGTCTTCCACTATGTATCCCAGGCTTCCAACTTGGCAGGGGTGCTCCTGCCTCAGCCTCCCAAGTGCTGGATTACAGGTGTGTGCCACTATACCCAGTTATGAAAAATATTGTGGACAGTGAAATGCAGGACATTTTTCTGCATGTTTGATACCACAGTATGAGGGGAGATGGAGAAAGCAAGACGGGCTCAGCCCAGGCTAGAACCAGTACTTCCTCCCCACCCTGGGGTGTCCGCTGTCAACAGGTGCCTCAGTGTGAGATTCACGCACCCCGAAGTCAGGATATCTGCCAATCCCCCCAGTACACCTGCTACTCAGTGCACAATGGACTAAGCTGAGATTCTGGCCGGGTTACTCATTACAGCTATCAAACATAAGCGAGTCTTTTAACCTTTAGTGCTGCAGGGCTGCTGAAGTGGACAGCACCCAGGCCCTGAGCTACATCCTAGGGCCTCAGCAGGCTAGCGCAGATGACGGTAACGTGGTAAGGGCTGGAGCTGGCAGCTTTTCACGTCTCTGTGGACTGACACAGATGGTATCGGGGCTGAGCATGTGTTCAGCAGTAATTTCCCAATGGTAAATTTCCTGATGCTGGGCAAGTAGCCCAGTGGTGGGGCACCTGCCCAGCATGTGCAAAGCCTGGGGTTTGATCCCCAGCACTGCAAAAAAGAAACCTCTCTGAGGCTGGTGGCACACACCTGGAAACCCAGTGCTGGGGAGGCCAAGGTAGGAGGAGGGCTGTGAATTAATTTGAGGCCGGCCCCAACTACATAGTGAGACCCTGTCTCAATGAAAAAAAAAAAGTCCTGAATTTGCTAAGTGTACTGCACAGAGGTCAGGGACACATACAGCGTGTGACGGTGAGTGCATGCATGTGCGTGTGCGTGGAGGAAAGAAGGCAATCAGACATCTGTAAACCAAATACAAATTCAGATAAAAGGCTGCACAAAAGCCCATGATCCTGAACTTTCCTGGAGACTGAAAAAAAATGAGAGGCAGTTCTCAGTTTTATTATGAAATTCTTATAAATCTGGACATTGACCCTTAGGCACATGGCTTATGCTTTAGCTCAAGTTTCCCAAGATACGAGAATCTGGTTGACTGCAGGCACAGGAGCCAGCAGCTACATTTCTTAGAAAAATAGTATCATTGGGAAACTTCCGCCTGGCACTGTCCTGTGCTCACCGATCTTCCCCAGTGGCTCGAGCCCAGTGCGATCCAGCCGACCTGATGCAGTGAACTGTGAAGATGCTGGCCAGCCAGGCCTGGCACCCATGCAGATGTTCTGCGAGACGCAGCTAGAACACGACCCCAGGGCTTGTCCCCGGCACCGAGGCTGCGCACCAGAACTCAAGGCTGGTTCACCTTTTCTTCACAAACTTCTTTCTGGAAGCGTTGGGGTTTAAGCGTCTCCGCCCGGCTCCCAGGGTGCTGTCTCGGACCTGCAGGGTGGCTGAGCGGCTGGAGATGTCGTTCTCTGCAAAGGGTGACACCCCGGCAACGTAGTCAGGGGCGAACACGTTGGTCTTCTGCCGGGCCTTGCGGGACAACCGCAGCTGTGGGAAGCGCTGGTCCTCCGTCAGGTGGGGGTTGACAGTGTATTTGCCCCCTTTGGGCATGGGGAGCGAGTACTGCAGGGGGAGAGGCTGTCAGAGGGGCTGGGCTGCAGTGGCGAGACTCTCCCTGCTGTGACAGGCCCTGCGCGCCCTCTCAACACACACCCCAAGCTGGATCTCAGCTTGTACTCGGACAGAAAGGAAACCCCAGGGCCTGGCCACGCCCCTCGCTGGACACGGGAAGTTCCTGTGGAGGCGAAGCACTAGTGAGCTAGACCCACTGTCACAACGCTGTGCCCCAGCACTGCTGAGGTGGCGCTGTAAGGCTGGGAGCCGGGCTGCCTGGGGGAGGGGAGGTCTAGCATGCAACCTGGGGCGGGCAGAAACGGAAATGAGGGAAATGAATGTAATTACCTCAAACACACACTGATATTAAAAAAAAAAAAAGGAACAAACCCCAGGGGTGGGGATGCACACCTGTAATCCCAGCACTTAGGAAGCTGAAGCAGGAGGATCACAAGTTCAAGCCCAGTCTAGAAAATTTACCAGCTGGGGATTTAGCTCAGCAGCGTTAAGCACCTGCCTTGCAAGCAGGCGGTCATGAGTTCAATCCCTGGTACTGATTTAAAAAAAAAAAGAAAATTTAGCAAGACCTTGTCTTAGAATTGAAAAAACTTTAATTGTAATTTTTTTTTTTTTTTTTGAGACAGGGTCTTGCTATGTAGTTCAGGCTGGCCTTGAGCTCACTATGAACCCCAAGCTGATGTCAAACTCATAGCAATCCTCCTGCCTCAGTGTCCTGAGTACTGGTGGGATTATAGGAATGTGTCGCCATCTGTCAAAAAACAAATTTCAAAAGGGCTGGGTGTGTAGCTCAGCACAAAAGTGTTGAGTTTAATCTCTAGTGTCATTAAGAAGAAATATTAGGGTTGGGAGTATAGCTCGGTGGCACTGTACCAGCCTGGCAAGCGAGAGGTCCTGAGCTCAACTGCTGGTACCAAAAGAAGCGAAAAGAGGAGAAGTGGCTGTCACACCCATCTTACGGGTCCACCTCTCACCACCCTTCCTTCTGACTCCCGCGCAGGTACTGTCCGTGGTCCAGATGGGCCCTTCCCGGTCCTGGACTGCAGAGTCCCCGGGATCCGCACGGGGAGCTTGGCACACCCTTCCCCAGTTCCCACGCCTGTCTGCAGCAGCCACCCTACACGCGCCACTCACCCGGAGGCCTCGCGGGTTCAGCACCTTGGGGTTGTGGGAGAAGTGCATGTGCAGGGTGCCGTCCTCACTCACGGTCACGGACACTTTCTTCAGCGTCCTGTTCCCACAGTGTGCACAGAACACCCGGCTCATGTCGGACGTGGTCCTGGGAGACCAGAGGCAGGGTTGGCGCCACAGCAGGCACAGGAGTCGCGCCCTCAGAGAGGACGTGAGAAGATATGACACGGAACTGCACTAAACCCCTCGGTGTCTGTTTGCAGTACTGATAAGAATGGGACCCCAAGAAGGCCGAGCTGTTTTTATTTTGAGACAAGGTCTAAGTTGCCCAGGCTGGCCTCAAACTTGCAATCGTCCCGCTTCAGCCCCCTAAGATGCTACATCCCCAAGTCACACTAAGATCGCCACGCCTCCTGCTGAGTGGACATGTTAAGTCCACTGCTGCTCCCTTTTTTGAAGACGTAAAGACGGAGCAAGTGAAGCCCATGAAAAACAAGGACATGAGTAGGGGTCAGTAACCTGATAACCATTCAGCAGACCCTGTTAGTGGCCGCTCCACCGTCAGCCTCCTGCAAGTGTGGGGAGCACGTACTCTTCACCCTGGATCTTGCTGTGCAGCAACAGCTCTGGCTGTCACCCTCCTTTCCTGAGCAGCATGCAGCAGCTCGACCCTCCCTGTCCCCAGGCTTCAGCCTCAGTGTCAACAGGAGACGGCAGGGGTTATTAATGACAGCGACTCCCATGGGACCACATGAGGCTGCCCCCCAGGCCCCGTCCTCCAGGGATTTGCCACTACTCCTAAAGGTGAGCGATGAGGCTGGGGAAGCCAAGCCTTCTCCCCAGCAGGCACCTTCGAGGGGACAAAGCCAGTCCTCTAGGACTCTGCACCGTGGGCCCTGCCAGATAAAGTCTATGGACGATGGGGACTTGGGGGCTGGAAGCTACCTGCACACAGAACCCCAGCTTCTGTCTCAGAAGCCCAGCAGGGCCGGGAAAGGGAGGGGAAGCAGCTGGTGACTGAGCCTTCCTATGATGCACCTTTCTTTTTATCGGTACCAGGGATCGAACTCAGGACCGCCTGCTTGCAAGGCAGGTACTTATGCTGCTAAGCTAAATCCCCAGCCCTGATGCACCTTTCTTGTTCTTCACAATGACATTTGTCATTTTATTTATGGCTCTGGAAGTGGGGCATGTAGTGCATGCTTATAATCCCAGCACTTAGGAGGCTGAGACAGGAGAATCACGAGTTTGAGGCCAGCCCTGACTACACACAGTGAGATGCTGTCTCAAAAACCCAAAAATAAAAATAGAATCTGAAGTACAAAGAAGATAATCTTAGCAAAGCCACACAGGTGGCAGGAATTCAAGTGGAACACATACACTCTGGCTACAGAGAAGAGCATGGCACAGCATGCGTGCAATCCAGCACGCTGGGAGGCTGAGGCAGAAAGAACTACAGTTCAATCCCTGCTTGGGCAACTCAGCAAGGTCCATCTCAAAATGAAAAAGGGCTGGGCTGACTCCCCAGTGCTGCGAAAACAAACACCAACAACCCAGAGTGACCACCACAAGTCACCAACCACACCGCTCCCAGCCGGTCTCCTGCCCTCTTCGGCCCGCCCTCCTAGGCACCGCGGGATGAACCCAGGGCCACAGTGCTACCGGGCCTCTACCCTGAAGGTCCTGGTGAGGTGAGGGGAGGGGCTCCGCACCTGAAGCAGCCGTGGCAGCGCAGGATGTAGCTCCGGGCCTCTCGGATCAGCAAGCCGTCCACAGCCAGCACGCGCAGCCCCATCTGCAGCAGCACGTTCTGCAAGCAGTGGGACACAGTGACCTGAGTGACTGCGGTCACCCCAGATGGGCTCCCTGAGATGTGGCTCTGCCAACGGTTAAGGGTGTGCCGTGCTCTCTGGCTTGGGCATGGGCCTGGGCCGGGCTGAAGAGTCCTCCTGGGGAGCCCCGAAGGAAAGAAGAACCCGGTGCCCTCTAATTCAAGGACTGAGGCCTGTGCTTGTCTGGAGTGATCTCCTGACAGATATTTACTTCTTCAGGGGAAAACAGTGCCCCCTTTCGGGGCCAGAAGCCCAGTCTGCTTTCACAGTACTAAATGAGCACAGGGCATTATACACCTGGAGAGAAAGGCATCAGCTGACCGTGACTATCAAAGATTACAGGTGTAATGTACCACACAGATTCTGTCACTATGTCATATGATTGTCCAGCCTAGCTAACAATCATTACTTGTTACAGAAACTAACAACTACCAAGCAGCACAAGCAAAGTCTCTAGAAGCAGGAAAATCAGAAGCACACGGTTATGTATTCCCACACGTCCCACATTCCCAAATCTCCATGTGACTGCTGTAGGCAGCATGGGTGACAGAAAGCCCAGGGCTGGCCTGTGTCGCCTGTTAGTGTGCCCCGAGCCCCATGTGGTCACAGGTGGGGCTTCTCCGGAGCTGGCTGCATCTAGAGTGTGTGATGCTAAGATTAAGGGTGTGTGGTTACTAAATCAGTCCCCGGATTGGACTGCCATAGTTCTGGGTAGATTAGATTAAGTGTGTTCCATCCTGGGTGTGAGTGCCACAGCCTCAGTAAGATGTAAGGGACAGAGAGAGGGTCTCTTCTCACTTGTTGCTTTTGCTGCCTCTTGCCATGGCATGGGTCGTTTGTCCTCTGTGACACCCCTCTTCCGTGCCACTCTGCCTTGGAGCCAGCTGACTTTATCTCTACTAACTGTGAGTGTGAACAAACCTTTCCTGCTTTAACGTTCGAGCCTAAGACGCTGCGTCACCCACCTGCATGGCAAAGTCCGTGGTCACACAGCCAACGCGCACACCCTCTGGGATGTCACGCTTCTCCAGCTCCTGCTGGATCTGCTTGATGTTGCTTGGGGTTATCCAGCCACCCCCGTCATCGTCGTCACTGTCTTCGCCGTGACTTTCTTCAGAACCATTGTCTTCTTCCTCCTCCTCCCCCCTGTCAATCTAAAACAGCAACAGAATTCACCCCACCAGCCCACAGGAGCAGTGGCAAGCAGCTCCTGCGCTGGCACAGGGGGGATGGCAAGCCAGGGCCTCACCAGCAGCTGCTGTAGCTCGAGGTCGATATTTGGCAGGGGGTTCCTCCAGAACAGGAAGGAGCTGAATTCCGGGTGCTCTGGCTCACCGGCTGGAGGGCCACAGGCTACTGTTTCTTGCGGGGGTTTATACTGAGATGGAAATAAATAGTTACTAATTACTCACAGCAATCCTGCTGCTACAGCCTCCCAAGAGCTGGGATTGCAGGTGTGAACCTGACTTTCTGTTTTGTTTAGAAACAGCAACTTAAAAACCTGAAAACTAAGAGAGTTATAGGTAAAATGACATTGAAATACATGTGAGACAGGGCCAGACAATGAATCCTACCAGTCCAGGTGAATGCAGCAGTTTGAGCAGCAGGGGGCGCTGAAGGCTCACCTTGGAGGGGAGGTGGAAGCCTGAGATGTGCAGCGGGGTTTCTGGGTGCTGAATCGAGGAGCTCACCCTAACCTTTAGGGAAAAAAAGGCGCCAGGTGTGAGCAAGGTCATTCAGCTTTCCACACGGAAGGGTACTAGAAAAACAAAAATCTCAGTATTTCCCCCTGGTTACTGAAATCAAAATTTAAAAATATTTTTAAAAATGATAGTATTTAGCAATACCAATACTATTAAACAAATCTTTTACTGTTACACATGTAACTGTAACACCTAGAAGTATCTTTGGTTATAGCTTTAGAGTAAATGTCTCAGAGTGCAATTGCCGGGTCAAAGGACACATTGTTTAAGGTAGCTGTAGTGGTCCCATTTATAATCCCTGCAATCTGGAAGGCTGAGGCAGGAGCATTGCAACTTTTCAGCCCAGCGCAGGCAATATAGTGAGATCAGTGTCTCAAAATAAAAAATAAAAAAGGGCTGGGAACGTAGCTCAGTGTGAAGGTCCTGGGTTCAATCCCCAGCACCACATGAATGATATACAATGAATGAATGAAATCCTGAGTAGTTGGATATCAAATGGAAAACCTGCTACACTATATTGAAAAAGACAGAGTCAGTTTACATAAAACTGCTCCTTTTACAACCTTTAGCATGATAGCACTGTGATAACATGCAGACATCTGCTTTAGAGTTTTAGTCTTTTTGGTCCTGAGGACTTTAAACCTGATTGAAAATAAGTAAGGATTGTTCTCAGTATAAGAATGTGGGGGCTGGGGATTTAGCTCAGTGGCATAAGCGCCTGCCTTGTAAGCAGGCAGTCATGAGTTCAATCCCCGGTACTGATAAAAAGACAAAAAAAAAAAAAAAAAAAAGAATGTGAGTCCAAGATGGGTGTGGTAGCGAGTTCGAGACCAACCTGGGCTACAAAGTAATCTTAAGCCAGCCTGAACTGCATAGGGAGACCCTGTCTCAAAATGACAAAAAAGAAAAACAAAAACAAAAAACAATGTGAGCCCAGGGCCTGGGGATGTAGCTCAGAGGCACAGTACCTGCCTAACCTGAGTGCCACTCCTGGTAATCACCCTCCCCCCTCCAAAAAGAATGTGAGTCCACTATAGTTTTGATGACTTTAGGTAGGTAAAGGAGATCAAACAATTCTTTTTCTTTTTTTTTTGAAAGACAAAGTCTTGCTATGCAGTTGAGGTTGGCCTTGAGCCCACTATGGAGCTCAGGCTGGCCTCAAACTCACAGCTATCTGGCCCAGGGACTTAGCTCAGTCGCATAAACATTGGTCATGAGATGGATCCCCAGTACCAAAAAGCAAACTAAAAGAACTCCTCACAGTGATCCTTCTGCCTCAGCCTTCCCAGTGCTGTGCCACAGGCATGTGCCACAAGATCAAACAATTCTTTGTCAACACTAAAAGAATTTTACTCTTTGCATTGTCTTAAATTGAAACAGAACCTACAAGGAAGGAACTAAGGCACATTTGTTAACTGCAATGTGAGTCCTATTTGGATCTCGATCCGAACAAATTTCATTTATAAAATAACTGAAAATATGAATATTCACCATATATTTAATGTATTAATGGTTACTGTTATTTTTTGCTAGCAGTAACAGATGGCTTTGACCAGCACTTAGGCTGAGGCAGGAGGATCTTGAGTTCAAGGTCACCTAGGCTACATAGTGAATTCAAAGTCATCCTGGACTATGCAGTGAGACCCTGTCTCAAAACACAGCAAAAAATGAAGACGGCTTTGAAGTTATCATTATTATTTTTAAAGTACTGATGTTTCACATTTGTTTAATTTTGAGACAGGGTCTTGCTACATAGCCCAGATGATCCTCTTCTCTCAGCCTCCTAAGTGCTGGGACTACCGGTGTGTGCCCTCATGCTCAGGGTACTGATCTTTAGTGATACACTCATAGTCTGTGGGAGGCCCTGGGTTTGGTCCCCAGTAAGGTCAAAAATGGGGAAAAAAAAAAAAAAAGAGAGAGCGAGAAATAATAATGTCCAAGTTCACATTAGGCAGAGGACGGGCACTCTAGGTCTGCTACACTATTCTATTTTTTTCTGAATTTTACACATTTGAGAACTGCCATAATAAAAGTTTGTTTAAAAAACAAAAAACACTAATCCTCCTGGTTTACCTTTTCTGGTTCTCGTTTTAGGTGAGACACCCCAACAAACTCAGCTTCCAACTGGTATGTGAGGGCCAGCACTTGGATATCTGTGGCGGAGAGGCTGGGATAGTCTCCAGTTTTCTTTGAAAATTCGGTCACTGTGAACAAGGTATTTTCGACTTTAGTTAGGATCAAAAACCCAATAGAACCTTCGAGAGCCACAATGAGAGTGTCAGAAAAACTAAGAAAAGATCAATAGCCCATCAATGTTGACATTTTCATCCATCCTTTGGACCTTTCCTACTCATTGTTGAGAATCTGCAACCTGGCTCCTAAGAATCCAGTTGGGTTGACGATAACATCCTTATCAAGCATGGATCCAAGAGCCCCAGGGATGTAGCTCTGCAGCACAGCATTTGCCTGGCAAGCACAAAGTTCTGAGTTCAAATCCTGATAACCCCCCAAACCACCACCAGATCTAAGGACAAAACAAAGTCAACAGAAAGCCACTGAAAGTTACCATACTTGTGTCTAATCAGAATTTTGTATTGAAGCTGTGGTAGTCAGAATACAAGCTCTCTTTTCTCTTCCAATTCTAAAGGCTTGGACTCTAACTATAACAGTTTACACTGATGGGGCAACCCATTCAGGACCCCTCCTGTCTTTCAGGAGCTATTCCTATTCCTGAATAAATTTTAACTCTTAACCATAACTGTAGTCTATGATGAAATAAGATCTTGCCATGTAACTCAGGTTAGCCTTGAACTCACAGTGAACCTCCTGCCTCAGCCTCCCAGCCTCCCAGGTGCTCTCTTACAGGCATGTGCCCAGCCAGTGGACAGATTTTTAAAAAATATTTTGTTTATTTATTTCCTTTTTGAGACAGGGTCTCACTATGGAGTTCAGACTGGCCTTGAATACACTTTGTAGCCCAGACTGGACTTTAACTCACTGCAATCCTCCTGACTTAGCCTCCTGAGTGCTGGGTTTACAGGTATGCACCACTAGGCCTGGCTGGTAGATAGTTTTTGAAGCACAAAAAATGTAAATATGTGCTAACTATACCATAAATGCCACCTGTTACTGTGTCCACTGAGAATGAAGAAATGAAATTTTCTGTTATCAGCGGAAAGACTTCTACACTGGAACAAGGTAAATAACAATATTGCTCACATTTCTCAAACAATAAAAATCTCCCTCTAAATTCTAAACATTTTGAAACCACTGACCATCTTCCCTAGAAATCACTGCCTTGTTCCTAAAAAGAGAATGCTAGCTCTTTCTGGTCTAACCTAAGACCTAAAAACATCTTTCTCTGGGTTGAGGCTGGCCTCTATCCCATATGGGCTGGTTGTGATGGCACACGCCTATGTTCCAGGATCCGGCACTGGGGAGGCTGAGGCAGGAGGAGTACCACGAGTTGAAGGCCAGCCTGGACCCTGTCTCAAAACAAACAAACAAACAAACACAACCATTACCCTAAGCAAACGAGGGATAGAGGTCTGGGGTCTTCGAATTGGGGGTGTGTGTCAGTGCCGGGAATCGAACCCAGGGCCTAAGGGAAGAAGGTAACATTGTACTACTGGGTTCTTTCGACCGTCCTCACACTCGTCTAGAACATCTACTGCATGCTGACAAAGCCCTAGACACGTAAAGCCACATATTCCTCACTGAATGTCCGCAGCAACCTCGGGGATAAGTACTCTTGTCACCACCCACGACGCCGCCGAGGCCGCCGGCCCGGGAGCTGTCATCACCGCGGCCGGGGAGGCCAGCCCAGCGCGCCACCGCCGTCGGCTCAGACACTCACCCAGCCGCACGTACTCTGGCAGCGGCTCCCTGAAGCGTAGTTCGTAGGGCAGCACGGCCAGGCGCCGGCGCGTCGCCTTGTCCCGAATCTCGCTGACCACCTCCCGGATGGTGTAAATGTTTTTCCCGATGTCCTGCGGAGAGACCGACCCAGCTCAGAGTCACCCGCGCCATGCACCGCACTGTCCGATCCCATGTGTTCCCTCGGGGGCCAGCAGCCCGGACCACACTCGCCCAGGCTGGAGCTTCCGTACCTGCAGAGCCGCGTCCCGCAGGAAAGCCCCGGCGTCCGCCACAACGTGCTCCACCGGAGCCATGTTGGCTGGGAGGACACAAAGCGCATGCGTACGGAGCTTGCGTCCGCACCTACGTCTCAATCTAGACCTGGCGTCCCCTGGCGGCTGCAGCTTGAGACTGAGGGCTACTCGTGCGCGTGCGTAGCAATCCCGCCAGCGCAGACTGGGAAATGCGCATGCCGCACAGGCGGAGAGCTTGTATTGGGTACCTGAAGAAATTGGCTTCAGCACCCCATCTTTAGCGCCTTCTTTACTTTTATTTTATTATTATGACTTTTTTTTTTTTTTAAACACAGCGGCTCGCTATGTAATTCAGGCTGGCTTTGAATTCACTATGGAGCCCAGGCTGGCCTCCAACCCTTGGCAATCCTGTCTCAACCTCCTGAGTGCTGGGATTACAGGCAGTACACCACCATGCCCAGCAGTAGTAAACAGTTAATTTAAAATGTTTTTGTTATTTAAGCATGGTGACACAGGCCTGTAATCTCAGCACTCTGGGAGGCTGAGGCAGGAGGATGACAATTTCAAGACTAGCCAGGGCAATTTAGTGATTTAGTGAACCCTTTTCTCAAAATTAAAAAAACCAAAAATTTTCGGGGGATATAGCTTAGAGCTAAGCCCTGAGTTCAAGTCCCAGTAACTCCTCCCCCTCCTATCAACAGAGATTTCTGCTAATTGAGTTCTGTGTGCTCCTGGAAGAACATGGGGGTTGGTTAGATGTCATGTGGCATTTTCTGACCCAGGCAGGGTGTTTTTTGGTGGGGAGGCCTGGTATCAGGCAGGTGCTGTCCAGGTGGGGTTTTAATGATTTTTTGGTTTCGTTTTGGGGACGGGGTCTTGCTATGTAGTTTACGCTGGCCTTGAACTCACAATTATTTTCCTGCCTCAACTCTATAGAGTGCTGGGATCACAGCCGTGTGCTATCATGCTGGCTGGTGTGGTGGTGTGCCCCTGTAATCCCAGCTTTCTGAAGTTTGAGGCAGGAGCATCGTCCACGAGTTCAAGGCCAGCCTGAACTATATACAGTGAGACCCTGTCTTAAAATATCAAAAAACTAAATAAAAAACAGATGCTGCTCAAAGGTTGCGATTTTTATTTATACAGCCTACAACAAAGTCTGATGCATAACATAGGATTGCCAGAATTATTTTTATACTTAATGTTTTTGAGACAAGTCTCGAAATGTAGCCTAGGTTGGCTTCAAACTCACAGCGTTACTCCTGCCTCAGCCTCCTGAATTCTGGGATTACAGATGTGAGCCAACACACTTGGCTATTACCACAATTAACAAAAATAAATACATAATGCTTAATAACATTTGATTGTCAGATAATACATTTTTTTTCATATAAATGTGTCCTTTCCAGCATTTGGGACGTACACATCACTCTGTTATTTATGTTACTCATGTCAGTTGGCATCCTGTATTCGCCTGGGAACCTTACTAAAAAAGCCCGAATATTTGCTGAATTAACGGATGAGAAGGTTTTCTTTCACTTGTTAATAACTTTACTTGCCTCAGAACTGGGCGTGATGGCACATACCTACAATCCCAGCTCTTTGCAGCCAGAGGTGGGAGGATCATCACGAGTTCCAGGTTAGCTTGGGCCACACAGTGAGGTCAAAGGTGACCTGCAGTACTACATAGCAAAACCCCCATCTCAAAACAACGAAAAAACTGTACTCGCCCCAGAGGGGTGACAGCCAGGCCAAATGATGCCCCTTGCACGTGGTGAGCGTTCAGCTTTTACCATCGGCCAGGGATCATCCAGCGAGCGGAAAACCTCCGCGTTCGTGAGCACAGCTTTAAGGCGTCCAACCCTGCCAGCCCGGCCTAGGTTGCTCGCACCTGTGAGCCCGGCCAGCCTCTTCCGGGTCAGGTGACCGCCGCGGTCACGTGACCTGGCCCGAGCGCGGCCTGTGCAAGGCGGAAGTGGGAGAGGACTGGGGCGCCGCTTCTGTGGCCGCAGCAGGTAGCGAGCGCCCGCGTGGGGGTGCGGCGGCGGCGGCGGGAGGCGCGGGCCGGGCGGGGGCGGCGGACGGCGCGGGGTGGGCCGGGGGCGGCGCGGCCGGGGCACCGGGGGGCGGTGGCTTCCTGTGGGAGGGGCCTGGCGTGGCGGTTCCGGCCTCAGAGGAGGGGTGTCCCGGCTCCCGGCTCCTGAGCTCCGGGTGCCAGCCCGGAGGCGGTGGGTGCGCCGCAGGCCGAGCGGAGGCGGCCGTCCGGGCAGGGGGAGTGAGGGCGTTCGGAGAAGAGAGGAGCCCCTGTGTCCGGGGAGAGAGGGGAGAGATCTCTGCCTGTGGAGGGATCGCGACCAGAGGAGGGGGCGACCTGGAGCGGAGCTGGAAGGGGGTGCTCGGGAATGGGTGTAGGACTGCCAGGGAATGGGCTGCAGTCTGGAAGATGCGGCCTGAACTCCAGCTGAGAGTTCCTTCTTTACTTTCTCTGCAAATGATTGCTGTCTGAGACTTTGATTTCCGTCCCGTTCAGTTTTTAAACTTCAGAAAGGATCATAGAATCTTGATCACCCTGCTTTCGTCACACCCACTTAGTGCTGCTTGGGTAGAGTTTCCACTTGTTGGGAACCTAGCTCCTGAGATCATCTTTCTTTGAGAATTTTCCCGAGCAGGTAATCTTCGAGACAAATAAGAAAAGACAAAACAGTGGGCACTCTACTTTAGAAACCACGAAGTGGTTTTTAATCTGCGCTGTTGACCGTGACCAAGCCTGGGTTACCTGGGCTCCATAGTGACTGCTGAAATTTTGGTCCAGGGAGTGTCTTCCTATAATGTACTGCTTTATGACTTTTCTGCTTTCTTAGGTTTTAATTATTTAGCTTTCCTTATCACGTGACTGCTTATCTTGACAAGCTGTAACTGGCTAGGGTGACTTAGAAGTCTGTGTCCTATCTTAGAACTGTGACCTGGATCATGATTTTGAGGTTAAATACCTATGTGAAAATCGTTTACCCTCTTTCTCTTTACTAAAATTTTCAAAAGTGAAACGGTTTCACGAATGTAATGTAACTGGAGTGAGTGTTCAAGCTGGATATTCACAGGTGCCTGCGATGTTTTGGGTTACAAGTTAGGAAAGGAAGAAGAAACAAAAAACCCATTTGCTAGTATTTTAGGAGTTCAAATTTTTTGCAGTGTTTGACAAACATCTTCAAATTAATTTCAAGTTAATTTTTGTAGCAGCCTTATTAGGCTGGGAAGGCATTATTTCCATTTCATAAGGAACAAACAGATCCAAGAGTTGGCTTGGTTTTTAAACAGATTTTTGCTCTTGTTTACTGGTCTTGTCTTTTCCTGCTACAGTGCAAATCCTTTAAGAGCAGGGTTCATATTTTATTTGGCATCACCGGCCACTAGCGTGGTGCCTGGTACGTTGTAGGCCCTTGGTCAGTGTTTGGTGACTAATGAATTGCTAAAGGTCACACAGGTGTAGGTCGTGAACAGGGGATTTGAATTCAAGTCTCCCATCTCTTCTGTCCTCATCTGTCATTAAGCTTGTGGTTTTCTGTTCTGGGTCCCTGTGCAAATGGCCCCTGGTATTGTAGGGATGCAGGGCATGATTTTAGATGCCTGGGCGAAGAAGTGATTCTGAGTTTGTTTTGTGCTGCTGTACCTCAGGCTGTACCTCAGGCTGGAGAGTTTATAAACAATATAACTCTATTTGGCTCATGGTTCTGGAGGCTGGAAGGTCTGGAATAGAGGGGCTGCCTCTGCTGAGGGTGGCCCTGCTGTGTGCTTTCCTGAGGCAGAGCGGAGTGTGTGTGTTGGGGGAGGGGGAGCACGGAACAGTGAGGGTCAGACTCACTTGTGTGACAAACTCAGTTGCACGACATTAATTTCCCCATGAATGGTCCCATCTCTCAAAGCTGTTGCACTGGGAATTTCCGAACTCTTGAGAAACACTTTCAAACCACAGCAGATGCCATATCTCCCTTTTCGTGGGCAAGTGAGCTTTAATTCAGTAACTGTTTCTAAGTGCTCGCTCTGTGCAAGGTATTACCACATGGGGCCACTGAGCTAGGTGAGCATCACATGTACACTGGAGTTAGGTCAGCTTGAAGAGAAAGTAAAATGTCTCATTGGTACTTGTATATTATAGTGAATAATCATAAAGGAAGATAACATTTTTAATTTATTCAGTTATCTATAATTAATTAAAATTAGCTTCACCTCCTTTAAAATTTTTCCTTTTTAAAATGTTTCCTGAGAATGATTTACAGGGCTTCCAAGTCATTCCTGTTGGACAGCAATTGCCATGGTATTTCTTTTGGACAGTATTCTTTTTTTTTTTTTTTTTTTGGTACTGGGAATTGAACTTACAACTGTGCGCTAGTAGGGTAGCCACTGGGCTGCTGAGCTACATCCCTGGCCCTGAACGGTAATCAGAACACTGAGTAGTATACAGGCAGAAACCTCCGCTATTGTTGACCTTGGTTAGCAGGGACCCAATAAGCAGGGTAACTGTGAAAGCAGCGGGGTGGAGGAGGGGAGGCAATGCATGGAGGGTCTGGGAGGTCATGGTCAGGCCAGTGGTTTTCACTCAGGGTGAGTTGGGCCCTTGGGGTTTTTTAGTAGTGGAGTATACACGATACACCTCCTTTCTGCAGACCTGCTTCTGTTGCTTGATGGGGAGGAAGGAGCCAGGGTGGAAGTGGGGAGACAAGTGTGGAGGCTGCTGCAACGCTCCAGGTGAAATGCATCCTGGGTACATTCTGCAGTGCAGTCCATAGGCTTTGTGGAAGGAGGGAGAAGGTAAGGAGAGAAGGGTGACTGCTAGGTCTGCATGCACAACTGATGAGTGGAAGAGGAGTAGGATTGGGTTTAGTTTTGTCCAGGTCAGTTATGAAATGCTTGAGAGAAATCCAAGTGGAGTGCAGTGGTGTATACCAATAATTCTAATTACTTGGGAGGCTGAAGCAGGAGGATCACAAGTTTGAGATCAACTTGGGAAATTTAGGAGACCTTGTCTCAAAATAACAAAAAGGGCTAAGGATGTAGCTCAGTGTGGAGGACCCCTGGGATCAGTCCCTGGTACTGGGGGAAAGAAAATCAAGGATTTGCAGGGTGGGGCTGAGGGGGGAATTAGATGAGGAAGTGTGACCCGAGATGCAGATGTGGAAGCTGTTTTCATGGGGGTGCATGTCCAGAGGGGTGCTGCTTGCCAGAACCTCCCACCCCCTCCCAACACTGGGATTGAAGCCAGGGTTTCACAGTGGGCCACAACCCCAGGCCTCCAGACTCCCTTTTCGACTCCCTGTTCTCTTACTTTTCAGACGGTCTCACCAAGTTGCTAAATTGCCCAAGCAGGACTGCATCGGGTGATCTTCCTGCCTCAGCCTCCCAGAAGGTTGGGTGCAGCACCGAGCCTGGTTTAGAGATTAATTTCTTTTTATTTATTTTTTATTTTTTTATTTTTTTATCGGTACCGGGGATCGAACTCACGACTGCCTGCTTGCAAGGCAGGTGCTTATGCCGCTGAGCTAAATCCCCAGCCCCTAGAGATTAATTTCTGAAGCAAGACTTCCATGATGCATTTACTGATAAAGACTTTAAGCACAGCAAGGTGTCACAGCACACCTCTGGGAATTTGAGTTTCTCTGCTTTCACTGTTCATGTAGACTCGAAATCACAAGCTACTGGGTTTTTTTTTTCTCCAGAAGGCTGCTCTTCCATCTGTGCGTCTCTGTAGTGTGCTGCTGAGCTCAGTCTGAGTGCCAGTTTCTGCAATTACTTTCTCTTTCTTTCTTTTTTTTTTTGATACCAGGGATTGAACTCACGACCTCAAGCTTACAAGGTAGGCACTTATACCACTGAGCTAAATCCCTGGCCCTAGTCTTGCTTTCTGAATTGGCAGCCAATTTAGAGACCACCAGGAAGGGTAGGAAAGAGACAGCCATGCAGGATGGATAATTTTTTTTTTAATGTTGAAAATACTGGCTTTGATGGGCTTGGTCACATATAGCACTTGGGAGGCTGAAGCCAGAGGATTGCTGTGAATTTGAAACCATCCTGGGCTACATAGCTATACTGTGTCTCAGAAACCAAAAATCAAAAATGAAACAAAACAAAATGATACTGGTTTAACCAAACACACATTGAACTCTTGTTTTATTTTGTTTTGGCCAGACATCCTCCCTGGATCATGTAACAAAACAGAACTTCCTTGAAGTGAATAAACCCATATGAGGTCATGGAAGAGCTGGGATTGGAATCTTGGTGTTGTGAGTTCAGATCTGGTGTTTGCACCTGTAAGATGGTGCTGGGGAAACAGGAACACAAGCTCCCATGAGAGCAAATCGGTGAGCTGACTTCAGGTCACTTATGACTGGTATGGATTCTGAAGTTTTGGAGAGATGGGGACAGAAGGGGAAATTTTTTTCCTTAGCTTCCAGCTAGAATCCTTCTCAGACTTGCATGTTTCTTGTTCTAGTTCCTCTCTCCACTTATAAACACTCAGTGCTGCTGGGCTTGGTGGTACATACCTGTAATCCTAGCATTTAAGAGGCTGGGGCAGAAGATCACTGCAAGTTCAGTCTGAACTACAGAATGAGACCCTGTCTCAAACCAAACCAAACAACAAAAGCAGTATATTGCTTGCGTGGTGTAACTACTTCTAGGAAAATGGCAAACATCAAGACACTGCCACCCTGACCTGGGGCCAGTCCTCTCCCTCCAGTCATGCCGGCTCTTGCTTGTCTCTTGTCCTGATCTCATTTTTCCAATCTCTTTGTTGTTAGCCTGTCTTCCCCTGGGCTGCAGGTGTTTGCCTGATGGTTGCATGGAACTATCAACCATCAGAGCGCGATTTTATTTGATTGTGTTTCAAAATGGGCCCTCAACAATGAGGGGAACTCAGCACTGGATGGAGGGAAGAGGCCAAGAGAAAGCACTCACATTGGAAAGAACAGAGAAAGCGTGAGACTGAAGGAGAAGAGGGTTTTTGGGCAGACCCTTCTCTTGCCTGTGAAGGCAGCTAATCAGGAGGCTGAGGCAGGACTGGTGTAAGCTCCAGGCTAGCCCAGACAATTCAGTGAGACTCTGAAAATAAAATAGATTTTTGTTTTGTTTTGTTGAGATGGGGTTGTCAGATGTATCCTGGACTGCTGTGAGCTCACCATCTTCCTGCTTCAGTCCCTTGAGGGTGGGGACTACTAGAGTATGCCACCACACCCAGCTCTGGAGATTTTTTTTAAAAGTATGGGGTTGTAGCTCAGCACCCCAGGGCTAAGTCCCTAGTACTGCAAAAAAAGAAAAGAATCTCTACTGTTTTCTACAGCTGGTTGATCAGAAGTAAAACAGTGTTTGTAGTTTTTGCTTTTCTTTGGCACATTCTTCTACCTAGGTCTTTCATCCCAAGACCAGTGTTCACTGGTTTTTTGACTCAAAGCTGGCCCAAGGTTAGTTGGTATACTGCAATCTTAGGGCTTAGAATTTTTTGTTTTCATTTGAGACAGGGTCTCTCTGTGTAGTTCAGACTGACCTCGAACTCACTGTGTAGTCCAGGCTGGCCTCAAATTCTTGGGGATCCTCCTGTCTCAGCCTCTTGAGTGCTGAGATTATAGTTGTGTGCTACCATGCCCAGCTCAAAACCTGGAGTTTTAATATCAAGGAAAAGGTTTTGAGTTGTGTTCTGTACATGTACTAACTCCTCATGGTGAATATAATCATTATGTACTGCAAATGTATACTGATAAAAATAAAAAAGTTTAGCAGCCATGGTGGCACACATCTGTAATTCTAGCACACAGGGGAGCTGAGGCAGGAGGAGAATCACAAATTCAAGTCCAGCTTGGGCAGTTTAGTGACTGCCTTAGTTACTTTTCTTGAGGTTGACACAAAATACTTGACACCCAAAGTTAAAGGAGGAAAGGGTTAGTTAGCTCACAGTTTGTGGAGGCTTCAGTCCATAATCACTGGGCTCCATGACAGAGTGTTACGGCAGAGGGGGCTGCAGAGCAGACAGGAGGCAGCAGACAGCAGCAGTAAGCAAGGACAGCAGCCCTTCCTGTCCCTTATGTCGTAGCCTAGCTGTTGGCCCTTAGGTCTGGTGCCACTCACCCCTGAGGCAGCTTGCCCTTTATCTACCTCCCGAGCCCTGCCAGACCAGTCTGTGGACTGAATCAGTACTCACACACTCTCGATCCCAGCACTGCATGGTCCAGATCCACTTCCAGAAAGCCCCACATGGAGGCTTTGGGCCCAGTTAGACACAAGCCATAACGGTAACTTAGAGCCTGTCGTAGAAATACATATATACATAAATAATAGCTGGTGGCGCAGACCTGTAATCCCAGCAAGCAGGAGGCTGAAACAAGGACTGCTCAAGTTCGCAGCCAGCCTGGGTTACAAAGTGAGCTCAAAGCCAGCCTGAACGACATGGTGAGGCCCTGTCTCAAAAAGACAGGAATAAATAAGTGAAAAAGGAATGGGGAAGTAGCTCAGGGTTGAAGGCCTGTGATCACTCCCCAGGACTACAGAACCAACAATGTAGTTCAGCTTGTAGACATTTCAAGAGAATTTACTAGGTGCTGCCTGTTTAACCTGAGTGCCTTTAATTGTATAAAGTACTATTAATGAGTATGTTTCTCAGATGAGGAAATGGAGATTTAGGAGGTAGGTAACTTTTTTGGGAGGCAGTTGTTTTGTTTTTGAGACAGTGTCTCCCTGTGTAGCCCAGGCTGGCCTTGAATTTGCCAGCAATCTTCCTGCTTCAACCAAGTGCCAGGATTATAGTCTCGTGTCACCGTGCCTGGAAGGAGAATGCAATTTGTACATTGGCTAAGCCTCTTTGCCTTCAAAAGATGAGTTTGAAAGGGTCTTGGTGACGTAGGCTCAGGAGGATGGTCAGGGGCAGGCTGAAGTTGCGGCTCTGTGGCTATGAGCCTGTCTAGTGTGGGCAAGGACCTGGGTTCATGCCCCAGGACCCGGAAAGAGAAAAGAATCTGCCTGTCTCAACAACCCAAGTGAGCACTAGCTGAGGAATGGCAAAGCAAAAGGCTTCAACCATGTATAGCCAGGTGTGGTGCGCACCTGTGATCCCTGCATGTGGAGGCCGAAGCAGGAGGATCACCCTGAGTTTGTCATACAGCGAAATATTCAACCATAAAATGAATGAATTTTGATACATATTACAGGGATGAACCCTGAAAATGTGCTAAGAAAACCATTCAGGAAGGATCACATGTCACACAACTCCATTTATGTGACATGGCTAGAATATGCAGATGCATAGAAGAGAGGCTGCAGGGATGGGAGGCAGGGAGAGATGGGGACTGACTGCTGATGGCCTAGGCCGGTGGTGGCAAACCGATGGCACACGTGCCACCGCTGGCTGGCTGCTCCCATTGGAAGCTCTCAAAGGTTGGCCATCATGGACATAGATCCTGTTGTGGACTGATAGAAGAAATATTCTGGTATTAAATAGTGGGGATGGTAGTTCAACTCTGTGAGTAGGCTCAAAACCACTGAATTATGTGCATGAACAGATGGGATTTTTTTTTTTCTGGAGACAGAGTCTCACTATGCAGCCCAGGCTGGCCTTGAACTCACTATACTCCTGCCTCAGCCTCTTGAGTACTGGGATGCCTAGCTTAAGGATGAGTTTATGACATATGAGTGCTCTGTTCTGTCTGTCTGTCTGTCTCTCTCTCTCTCTCTCTCTCTCTCTCTCTCTCTCTCTCGTGGGCTTTGCTATATAGTGTTAAGGCTAATGTAGCCCAGGCTGGCTTCCAATTCATAGTGCTTCTCCTGCCCCAGCCTCATAAGTGCTGGGATTATAGGCATGCGCCACGACACTCAGCTGAACTATGTTTCAATAGTGATAATAAAAAAGAATGAACCAGTCCTGTTCCCAGTGTGCGCACTGTGTCCTGTAGGTGCCCAAGTTAAGACTCTAGTTCAAGACTGGGGGGTGTGACACAGTGTGAGAGTACTTCCCTACCTGCACACAGCCCGGGGCTCAGTCCTGGCACTGAGGAAAAGAAAAAGATACTAAAGGGGCTGTGGTGGCCGCAGCAGTGCACCTCCTCCGCCTGCTCTCTGCCACAAGCCATTCAGCTTCCTCTGTTGTTGTGGACAGAGACAGATACAGATACAGATACAGAAACCGAGATACAGAGGTTCAGATATAGAGATCCGGAGACAGAGATATGCATATGGTACTGGGGAGGGAGTCCAGGGCTTCTGCACTAAGCTACATTCAAGTTCTTTATTATTTCTTATTTTATGCAGGGCCTTGTTTAAACTTGTGATCCTCCTGCCTCAGCCTCCTAGAGTGGATGTTATTAAATGCTTCTTCCTGGCTTTTATGACCTCATGTATTTCAACTATTTTAGCCATAAATAATACAGATAGTTTTTGTCATCCTTCTGGATGTTCCTGGCAACCGAAGCATGAGGTGGTTGCTTGAAATGCCTGATCACAGTCATGAGAAAGTCTTGGGAGCTTCTGTCCTGGCCCATCCCGTCTCCCACAGCTGTGGATCTGGGCATGGAAACCCCAGCCCAGGCCTTTGCACAGAGCCACAGCCACAGCCCCAGCCCAGTTTTTTTTAAGCGTTATTTAAAAGTCAAGGTGGGTGTCTCATTTTCTGCACACCCACACTCCTTTCTGAGTGTACTTTTTCTTCTAAAATGAATCTTTTCCAGGCTCCTTCAAAGTCAAGATGTCAGGGAACTACTGGTTCCCATCTACACAGAGCTGAGCGGTCTTGTGCCACAGTCAAGGCCTTGAATTTCCTCTGTGGGCCCGATTTGACAGGTGCTGGTCTTTTGGGTGGGACCTATGGGAGGCTTTGCTGTCCCTGAGCCTTCCAGGTGTCCCGGCCTTCAAGAGGACAGGAGCTATGCCCACTCATGTGCTCCCACATTCTCCTCCTCTGACACTACTGACACAGTCCTGCCACTCTGGAGGCTGAGGCAGGAGGATCACTGGTTTGAGGCCAGCTTGGGCTGCATAGTGGGTTCAAAGCCAGTCTGGATCTTGGGATTACAGGCCTGCGCCACCGTGCCCAACTGTCTTTTTTTTTGATACAGAGCCTGGCCCAGTGCTCCAGTGCCAGGTTTAGGGGTGAGCACCCTGCCTGGCGTCAGGTTATTTCTTCCAGGAAGGTATCCTGGGTCCAGATTGCCTACATGTGGACCTTGGCATTTAGGACTTGCTGCTGATGCGTGGGGCTCCTGGTCTTTAGCAGTCAGCTAAATCTTCTATGGACTTCGTCAGTAATTGTGTCTGTTTCCTAGTCCTAATTTGTGTGGTGAGTTATCTCAAATTTGGTGACTTTCAACAACAATAATTCATCTTTCTCACTTTTAGAGTTAGGTATCTGACGTCCAGGTGGCCTGAGGGTCCCTGAAAGTCCTAGGGGACCTTCTGGCCTTGTCCAGTTCCTTGGTTGTAGCATTCTGACCTTTGCATCTGTCCTCACGGGCTTTGTGCTGCTGTCTGTGGCTCTCCCTCTGGTCTATCTAGAGGACGTCAGGCCTCCTCTCAACTCAGAGGATCTTATCTTGGGATCCTTATTACATCTGAGAGACCCTGTTTTCCGATGAGGTCACGTTCTCAGATTCCGGGGTGTGGACTTAGCTTCACAGCAGTTGGCAACTGCAGTTTGAGCCGCACTGCTGGCTGAATGCAGATGGGGCTTTTATTAAAATAAGGATATTATCCTGCAACACAAGTTAGAGAGAAACCTTCCTTCTTCTGAATTTAAATTTTATGTCCCAAATAATACATGTGCATAGGTAAAAATGAAGTAGCATTACAAGGCTTATAAAACAACTGCTGTTGCTTGCTTGATCTTTTTAAAACTTCATTTATTTATTGTGATGCTGGGGACCGAACCGAAGGCTTTGAGCATGCTGAACCAGTGCTGTACCCCAGAGCTGTACACTTCGCTCTACCTTTATTTCCTGGTATTGTAGTCAGGGCTTGCAAGGGTTTAATACAGGACACATAATTTATAGAATTATTTTACAATATTCACCCAAAAAGTCAAATACAGAAGAGTACAGGAAATCTGTCTACACCAGAGACCCAAAGCATCAGGCTGAGGGCCTGAATCCCACAGCAATGTATTGCAGAGTCCAGCTGAAGACCTATAGCCCATGGCAATGTTCTCCATGAATCCAGCTGGAGGCCTCAAGCCCACAATAATGTCTCATGCAAGTCTGAATCAAGGATCTGCAGTGGGGAGGCCCAGAGACCAGTGGTGGAGGCTAGAAGGTTTGCACCAGCCGGATAAAGGATCTGTGCCAGCAGGCTGAGGGATCTACACTGGAGCCGGAAGCAACACTCAGGGTAAGGACCAGAGTTCTCCTAAAGAGAACTGCAGCCATCCTCAGCAACAGCAAGGTCCTGAGCGCCTTTGACACTGAGAACAGCCGATTCCAATCAGGAAGACCTCTGTGACCCGCTTCCCCAGGAGGATCAACAGCACACCATCTTCCCCTCCGGATCTCCTGTTTACATTGTTGGCAACAACCCTCAGGTGGGCCCTCCACACCCAGCACCGCTCTGATTCAGTTCAGTTGGGCGTTACAAATTGCCTAATTAATCTACCACTACTGGTTACAACCATTTCACAATTTATTTTTTGTGGTACTGGAGAGTGAATCCAGGTCCTTTGACTGAGCTACATCACCAGCCCTTTTGTTATTTTTTTATTTTGAGACAGTCTCACTAAGTTACTAAGTTACCCAGACTGGGTTCAAACTTGTAATCTTTCCATAGCTTCCCAGAATGCAGGGATCACAGGCATGTGCCACCACACCTATACGTGTCATGATTTTTGATTAAATTGTCTACACTGTTACGATAAATGCTGTTTACAGCTAAGCCACATAATATACCAAGATCACTTTCTTCCTCAATTCAGCTTTTGTTTTTACTGGAGGTATGCATTTCCAACAAACCCTGGGATAGAGCCACAGAACATCCAGTGCGGTGAGGCGTGGCGTGTCGTGTCGTGAAATCTCCTTAGAGAAGCCATCTGTGGATCCTTTGGCCGGGCTAGTCGGGCATGGGCACTGCTGTTTGTGGAGGAGTCCTGAGGCTCACAGGGAACCTCCTGTCTCTCTCCTCTTCCCAAAGTGCATCTTCCTGTAGCTTCCAGAGAAAGCCAGCTTTGGAAATTACTCCTTTGTGACTTTGCAATTTTGAAAATATCTTTATCTTGCTTTCATCCTGGATTGTTTTTCTTGATTCTCAAATTCCAGGTAGAAAAGTTTTATCAGGATTGAGAGCCTTCGGTATGGCTGCAGGCCATTCTGGCTCCTGTTAGTAACTGTGAAGAGAGCGAGCGTTACCGTTTTCAGGCCAAAGTGGAACTTGTGTCACAGTGTCCTCCTCTTCTTTTTTTAAGATAGGGTCTCTCTCTGTGGTTCATGCTGGCCTTAATCTGGCGGTCTGTCTGCCTCAGCCTCTTGAGTGCTGCAGTTATGGGTGTACTCTACTCACCTGGTCAGTGTGGCTCTGTTCCATTCTCTGTTCTGGGGATTGGGCTCCTTTCTACAAGTGTGTGTCTTTCAGGTCCAGAAAACAAATTTGCAACTTTGTAACATTTCTTGATGATTTCTTTCCCTCTTTTTCCTTTTCTCTTGGATGTTGGATATTTTTTTTTTGTCTTTTTTGAGGCAGGTTCTTGCTATGCAGTTCAGGCTGGCCTTGAGTTCATTTTGTAGCCCAGGCTGGTCTTGAACTCGCAACCATCCTCCTACCTCAGCCTCCGGAGTGCTGGGATTACAGGCGTGAGCCACCACATGCAGCTGGATGTTGGATATTTTAAACTAATTATTTAAAAAAAAATTTTCTCTCTTAGCTACTATCACTCTTTCATCTTTTTTTTTTGTCTTTTTCATTTTTATTGGTACTGGGGATCGAACTCACAACTGCCTGCTTGCAAGGCAGGTACTTATGCCGCTGAGCTAAACCCCCAGCCCCACTCTTTTATCTTTTTGAGACAGGATCTCACATTATGATTCAAGCTGGCCTTGAACTCAGTATTTAGCCCAGGATGGCTTGAATTTGCCTCAATCTTCCTGCCTCAGCCTCCCAAGCATTGGGATTACAGGTGTGCACTTCCATGCCTGGCTCTAAAACATTTTTAAATGTCAGAAAACTGATGTTCCAGATCGTTCCTTCCACAAATATTTTGGAGTCCCTAAAAAGAGCCAGGTCCTATTCCAGACACTATGGCAACAGGACTAACAGATGCAACAAACAACTGGACCCTCCAGGAGCTTAGATTCCAGGGCAGGGAGACAGGAAATACAATAAATAATTACAAAGTGACAAAGGGAAAGAGGCCGAGGCCTAGGGCTGGGTGGGAGAGGTGGGCTTGACAAGGGTCCAGGGTCAGGAGCCCCTTAGGGGACGAAGGAGGAAATGCTGCTGGCCCTGGGTTCTGAGTCCTGAAGTCCACAGCTCGGGCAGAGCCAGGGAGGAGGTAGGAGCTGTCTGTGATCCAAGACAGCAGGGAGCCTGCTCTGCTGAGACTGGGGACGGATGGAGGAGAGCGACAGAGGTATCACAATGGGAATGTAGCACAGAGGCCCTCGAAGCTTATTTTAAAGACTTGGGATTTTATTCCAAGTTAGACAGGAAGCTGCTGGATGGCTCTATCAGTGACATGGTCTGACCTCCCTAATTAAACAAAACAAAACAACTTCAATCTCCAGTACCAAAAAAACCCAAGAAGTGCTCTGGTGGCCGAAGTTGGACATGACACTGAAGGGGTACGGGGCTTAAGACAATCAGGTGAGAGAACGTGGTGCTTGGACCAAGCTAGGGCCCAGAGGGTGGCAAGATGGCTTGAACTTGGACTTATTTTACATGTGCAGGTGACAGGTATGGACAGATTGTGGGCTCTGGCTGGGAAAGGAACATGAGTGAGTCCCAGTGTTCTGGCCAAGTCACTGGATGGAAGGGGTCCTCATGACAAAGGAAGAGGGTGGAGCAGAGCATCAGGAGCAACCTTTTGACTTTGGCTAGCAGATCCGAGGGCCTGAGGCTCCAGGCTGATGTCAGGCTGAGACAGCCAGTATGCACAGAACAGATACAGCTGCCCAGCTACAGCACCCCCTGGTGGTAGAAGCTGCTGGTGGGTGGCAAAGGAGCTAGCAGAGGAGGCTGGGAAGAGTTTCAGGTGGGCAGCGTCCAGGCCATCCAGCGCAGAAAGCATTTGGAATGCAGAGCGTGGCTGCATTAGATGCCTACCAAGCTGGGCATGGGAGAGACTGAGAGGTGTCCTGGAGTCTGTGTCACTCTGACAGTCTCCACTGTATGGAAAATATTCACAGAACTAGTCCATGGTGGCACGTGTGCAGTCCCAGCACTCCGGAGGCTGAGGCAGGAGGATTGCTGCTAGTTCGAGGCCAGCCTGTCCTATAGTAGTGAGTTCGAGGCAAGCCAACATTACAAAGGGAAGGCCCCTGTCACAGAAAAATGAAAACAAAAAGCAAAATAAAACAGAACAGAAAGAACTACTGGGAGTATGGCTCTTCCCTAGCTTGGTTGAGGCCTGGGTTTCATTCCTAACACTGAGGAACAAATGAACAAACAAAACCCTGACTAGTCCAGCCAAAAATGAGAGTAAGTTGTTTTGGAACCTGAATATACAGCAGGCTTTTTTTGTGGGGTGGCTTTTTGAGTTAGATAGCTATGTAGCTCAGGCTGGCCTTGAACTTGCAGCGATCCTCCTGCCTCAGCCTCCCGAGTGCTGGAATTACAGGCGTGCACCACCATACTTGCCTGAAATAAGGCTTTTTTGGAGGGGAAGCTTCTCAGGATCAAAGCCAGGGCCTCGTACATGTTAGCTAAGTGCTCTACCACTGAGCTAAGTCCTCATGCTTTGTTTTGTTATGCTAAAAATCTTGAATCATAAAAGTGACTTCAGCTATAGATAGTGTCAGAATCACTGTTACTTGGCTATAGTGACATTTAATTCTCATATAATGATTTCCATTCTTGGAATAATATAGTGAGTTGTTAATTACTTTTTAGGGCTGGAAAATTCTAACATGGGAAATCAGGAGAGATGAGAAGCAAATAGATTGAAAGAAGCTACTCAGGCTGCTGAAAAGAACGGGAATTTTGCCATGTTTTTGTAGCAGCAGTTTTCAAGTGTGATCCTCAGACTGTGGGCGGCCTTTGAGATTCTCCTGAGATTTGGCAAGGTCACAGCTATTTTCATAATATCTCCAGTCACTCTGCCTTTTTCTCGTGATCATATTTGCACCGGGGTGTAGAAGCAAAGGTGAGTAAACTGCCCATGCCACAGCCCGAGCCCAGGTCACTGTTGCATCTCGCCCTTCCATATGACGTGCTTTCGGCCCAGAGAGAAAAGCCAGTTTCACTCAAGAGGGTCCTTGATGTAAAGAGCAAAGCAAAAGACAGATAACAGGAAACGGAGATGTTTTGTGAATGGAAGGGTGATGGACCAAGAGCTGGGAGGAGGAGAGAGGGAGGGCGTGGAGATGCACTCCGTACCTGTCCCTGCTCCCTGAGAGGAGTGCGATTGTCACAGACTGCAAACCCATGCCCAGAAAAATAAAAGACATACAGGAAGTTTCAGGATGATTAAGGGTCACAGGTGTTCATCGTCTCGAGGGTTCCTAACGCCAATAACGTGTGTTGGCAATTCATTTAATGCTGAAGGAACAGCCAGATTTAGTTTAGCTATAAAGGCGAATAGCTGTGATTTAAGAGAAACCAAGCCCTCGATGAAATGTGGCTGGGCCAGAGCCCGGCTCGGAGCACGTCTCTCTCCCTGCTGTGGAGAAACGGGAGCAGCTGGAGACAGCTCTGCCGCGCACGCACCGGCAGGTGAAGGTGTGCAGCTGTCTCATGAATCACCACTTTCACTTGGAAAGCAGCTGAGGCAAACTGAAGTTACTAGAATTGGGTATGTGCCAGACACTTTCTTCCCAATGAATGAAGCGAGCCTGACATTTCAAGGGAAACAACTGTTTGTTACCGGTGACCAAGCAGGAGCTCGGTATGGAAAATGAGGATTTGGGACACCTGTCTCTACCGCCGGGCGCTCCGAAGCTTCCCTGCCGTCTCACCTGGAGACTGAGTGGTGACTGGCAAATGTGGTGTTGTGGATACTGTAGAATGAGGTGTGTCACACTGGAGGGTCTGCATAGCTCAGGGAACCCGTATTTGCCAAATGACAAGTGATGATGGCTCCAGCTCATAGCTGAGTAAGAGATCCATTCGCAGTGCCACACAGACTTTTCTTCTAGCCGAGATGGTATGACAAGGACTCTTGCTGGCTGACAGTGTCGGGCATCTCTCCATGGGCTTCTCAGCCATTTGGGGTCTTCTTTAGAGAGACGTCTGTTTGGATCATTTGCCAATTTAAAAAAAAAATCACATGAGCCATCTTTTTATTGTGAAGCTATTACTTTCATTGTGGAGTATTCCATTCGTCTCTTCCTCTTGGTTTGGCTGCTAACGTCCTGTGGCCTTCCTAAGTTAGCCAGTCATTGTAAGAGACAGAGGATGTTTTGGATGTTTATGTTTTCTTGCCTCTGTCTCTTTAAACTTGAATACAAATTGAGCTTAGCTTTATTTTCCTTTTTCGTTTTTTTCTGAGATAGGGTCTCAGTAGGTAATAGAGGCTGTTCTCAAGCTCATGGGGATTCTCCTGTCTCAGCCTTCTGTGTACTGGGTTTAAGGCGTGCACCATCACTCCCAGCTTTTGAGCTTGGTCTTTCACCTCCTGCTCAGATAGTCTAAACCCATTCCTCTGCTTACCTTGCAGTTTCCTGGTGATGATATGGCATCTGCCAGCTCCAGCCGGCCAGGAGTGGCTCTCCCTTTTGAGAAATCTCAGCTTACCCTGAAAGGTGAGTGGCTCGTGTCACATGCATGTCACTGGAGGTCCAGCTTCGTGTTCGGGGAAGAGGCAGGAGTCTCTGCTACACCTGGATCGGCAGGGCTGCACTTTTAGAAACAGCTGAAGGAAAGTCACTTGAAGGAGATAGGAAAAAAGGAACTTTTGGCTAAAATATCTGGACTTAATCTTGGTCAAAAGGCTGAGAAGCGGTGGCTAAAACATCCGACTTGGTGACTGCTTCACATCCCAGGGCTCTTTTCTTTTTTTGACCTTTTTTTTTTTTGTCTTTTTGAGACAAGGTCTCACTGTGCAGTTCAGGCTGGCCTTGAGCTCACTTTGTAGCCTAGGCTGGTCTCGAACTCACAACGATCCTCCTCCTGCCTCAGCCTCCTGAGTGCTAGGATTACAGGCGTGAGCCACCATACCCGGCTCTTAGGGCTCAGTCCATATTCACTGATGATGACCTCACTCAACCTCTTGGTGTCTGTCCAATGCCACCGATCAGGTCACTGCCATCTTGTTGTCTTCAGCCGGGGTTTTTTCTTGACACTACGTCGGTACGTCCAGTGGCCAGCTGATGCCATGGCTTGCATATTTAGGAAATATCTAAGATTTACAGCCGAAGCGAGTGCCTGGTTTCTCTTTCTCATATCCTGTGTTCAGCCGTCGGCATATCTAGTTGATTCTATTTTCCAGACACGTCCATCCGGTCCTGAGCACCTCCCGCAACCCTTGCTGTCCTTACCTCAGCCAAGCTGCCGCTGTCCCCACCGGATTAAGGCTGTCACCTCCTGTGCTGCCTTCTTGCTTCTGCCCTTTGCTCTCTTTCAAGCTGGGTCACACAGCAGCGCTGGTGACTTGTTAAAATGTGACATGGCTCTTATCACTTCCCTGCTCAACACTTCGAGTCAGAATACAAACTGATGACCCCACATGCCAGCCTGTTTCTCAGTTCTGGTTGCTTCCTCTGCTCCAGCTACAGGCTCACGACTCTTCATTCAGCACAGGCAGGTGTCTGCCCACCTCTGGGCCTTTGCACTTGCTACCCCTCTAAATGGAAGGCTTTCACTTGGCTTCTTTACTTCCTTAGGTCTTTACTCAGTAGTCCCCCACTTCTATGAGGCCTTCCGGATCTGGACTGTTGATCTGCAGCCACATCTCTCCTGACTTCCTCACCTCGGTCCGCTTCCCAGCCTTCCCAGCCCTCCTGAGTGCTAGGATTTTAGGTGTGTGCCTCCAAGCCTGGCATTATTTTGGCCAGTGTCTGCACCTGATGGATCCTGAGCAAATAATGCCGGAATGGAAAGTACTGCTCTGGTGGCCAGAGCTCTCTACAGGAGTCATAAGGCTGAGCAGATGCTTGGGGTGGGTAGGGCTCTCAGGATGTGGGCTCAGGTCCCTTGATGCAGTCATGCAGAGGCGAAGCTGTGTCTCTACATTCTTTCTCATTAGTATTTTATTATTATTATTATTATTGTGTGGTGCTGGGGACTGAACCCAGGGCTTTGCATTTGCTAGACAAGTGCTATGCTGCTGAGCCACACCCCAGCCCTCAGGAGCATTTTGGAAAGGCAAATGTTACTCATTTATTTAGTATATTCACATACATTCCTTTCCTCCAGCCCTGCAGTACCCTTCTTGGGGGAAACCAAGGCCATCAGTTTCATTTTTGTTTTTATATTTGGTCTTTTTGAAACAAGGTTTCACTATGCACTTCAGGCTGGCCTTGAGCTCACTTTGTAGCTCAGGCTGGTCTCAAACTTGCAGCAATCCTCCTGCCTCAGCTTCCAGAGTGCTGGAATTACAGGCAAGTGACACCACACCTGGCTCATCAGTTTTTTTTGGTGTCCCTCATATTTGTTTTAATCAGCTTTTTGTGTCTGTGACCAAATACCTGAGAAAAACAGCTTAGAGGAAAGAAGATTTGTTTTGGATCATGGTCTCAGGTTTCAGTCCATGGCTACTAGCTGCTTTGCTATTAGCGCTATGGTGATGGAGGAACATGGTGGTGGAGCTTGTTGCTGCTCACCTCAGCCAGGAAGTAGACACAGAGGGAAAGAGCCAGAAAAGAAGAGGCTGGGGACCAGATTTAGTTCCCAAGATTACACCTCCATGTCTGCTCCCTTTGCCAAGGCTCTGCTTTCTGTTTCTATTGTCACTCAGCTCACTGTCCAGTAGTGCCACCACTGGATCCCATCAGTGGATTAATCCACATGGTGGAGTCGGAGCCCTTATCATCCGATTTCTTCCCCCAGAGCCCCTCAACTGGCAACCACCTTTTAGCGTATAAGTTAATGAGGGACATTTTAAATCCAGGTTCTAATGGCCTCCAGTGGAAAGAGTTTGTGTAACTTTGAGGCCAGATTGCTTCCTTGGAAGGAATATTTCTTTCTTTTTTTGTTTCTTTTCTTTTTCTGAGATAGAGTTTCTCTATAGTCCAGGCTGGTCATGAACTCACCGTGTAGCCCAGATTGTCCTGGAACTCATGGGGAGCCTCTTCCCTCAGCCTCCTGAGTACTGGGATTATAGGCATGGGCCACTAGAAAGAATATTCATATAGCAGTGTATGAGAGCGCCATTGTTTATCAAAGCACAGTGTTGTCAGACTCTTTTTATTTTTACATCTAGGGATGGAACCCAGGGCTCTACCAGTGGTAGCCAAGGCCTTTACCACTGAGTACTACTTCAGCTTTTGTTGTTAGACTTCTGGCAGTTTGATCACTAAAAGACTGTTTTCTGGGCTAGAGATGTAGCTCAGTGGTAGAACATTAATACAAAATTAATATCGAGTGACAGTGATGATTACTGTAGAGCATTTTTTAATATTCTTGCACATTTTGTACAAGTCTGAAATTATGTAAATATTTTTAGAAAGTAAAAAGAAAACAGGAAATAGCTGAGGACAAAAGAAAGGAAGAGAAAAAAAGAAAATATATAGACAAATAGATGGGGGTCAACCGTGGTAAACAGTTCAAAGAGTTTGCCTGGGGGCTGGGAGACGTGGCTCTAGTCACAGCCCCACCACCGACAGGATCCATGATTTGAATAAGTTGTAGCTCCCTAAATCTTGGCACAATCATGAAAAATTTGTTTTGTTTTGGTACCAGGGATCAAACTCACAACCTCATGCTTGCTAGGCAGGAGCTTGTGCTGCTGAGTTAGATCCCTGACCCTGTTTTTGTTTTTAAGACAAAGTCTTGCTATGTAGTTCAAACTGGTCTTGAACTCATGGTATATCAGGCTGACCTCAAACTCAGATCCATCTTCCTACCTCAGCTTCGAGTGTACCGCCATGCCTGGCTTCAATAAAAGGTTTGAATTTGCTGATTTTAAAGAGATTGTCAGGGTGGGGGATTTAGCTCAGCGGCATAAGCACCTGCTTGGCAAAGTGCACAGTTGTGAGTTCAATCCCTGGTACAAAAAAAAAAAGTGCTTGAAAGAGATGAGTGTTAATCATTTGGAGTCCCCTTTTTGAATTAAAAGCATGCAGAGATACACCCCTGCCACCAGGTGGCGCCAATTAACTTCGGTCTCTGAAGCGCAAAGCACAGCTTTTTGCCCTTGACCTGCGTTCTTGTGCCATCACCGTTTTGGAATCTTTGCCATAGGTGGTTATTTATTTATTTAGCTTCCTTCTCACTGTGTCTTTTGAGCTCTGAGAAGAATTATTGCTAAAATCAACCTGGAAGTGGAGGTGACCTTTGCCGAGTTGTAGTACCACTGTCGCCTCTCAGAGAAGTGTCTGGGAGGAGATTTGCTAGCTTTCAACCAAGGGGCACTCAGGTGGGGACAATCTTGCTGTCATAGATGAGGGGTATCAGTTCCATCCTCTGATCTAGGGCATAAGATGGAAGACATCTGGATGGGGCTTCCTTCTGAGGACCTGCGTCCTTACCTTGGGTCACACGTGCCCCAAGACCTGTGTCCTTGGACATGGCACTTATGTGGCCAGGTGGACACGAGAAGGGCTGGCACCCGAGGGCTGTGCTCTCCAGCGGGATGCGACAGCCCACAGAGGGCTGTCAGCCTTGCCAGTAAGTGAAGAACAGAGAACAGCAGGAGAGGAGCCGAGCGCAGTCCCGCAGGCCCTGAGCGGCACGGAGCCCCGCGGACCGTCCACAGCTCCTCCAGTGTTAGCTGTTCCCTGTAAGCCCCTGGAAACCGCGGGACTGCAGAGAGCGGGAGCACACAGAACTCAGCACCCTGACCTCAGGAGGGGGGGATATCTGTAAAGCGCTGATGGGAAGCCGCATGGCTTTTCTCCTTGTGAAAGGCTGTTGTGCTGTTCTGAGAACATGAAAACATTTTTCACAGCCTTTGGGGGCTATTCAGCAGCGAGTGTGGTACTTTCCTAGAACAAAGTTGCAAATAATCTTTTTAGAATGAAAGATGGTTAACATACCTTATAGTAGGCTCACATCACAGCCACTTAAAATTACTTTCTTGGAGCCAGGACTGTAGGTCTGGGAAGAGGACTTGTCTAGCATGTGAGAGGTCCTAGGTTTGAGTCCTAGCATTGAAAAAAACAGAAAAGATTTTGGGAGGAGAATTTTTAAGGAATTAGGGAAATAAAGCATAAATGTCTAGAGGGCTTACCAAAAATAAATTGGTAATGATAATTAGTAACAGTTATCCCGTAATGATACTAGTTTTGTTCGTTTTTTGAGACAGAGCCTCATTATGTAGTTCAGGCTGGTCTTGAACTCACTATGTAGTTCAGGCTGGCCTTGAACTTGTGGTGATCCTCCTGTCTCAGCCTTCCAAACACTGGGATCACAAGCATATGCTACTGTGCCTGGCTCTCCATAATGATAGTTATGGTCTCAAGTTAGGAGTGATTTTTTTTTCTTTCTTTTTTTTTTTTTTTGGTACCAGGGATTGAACTCATAACCTTACATTTGCCAGGCAGGTGCTTATGCCACTGAGCTAAATCCCCAGCCCCCTGATTATCTTTCTCTTTTGGGGGGATAAATATATATATTGTTTGATTATATATATTTTTTGATAATCAGGACAATCACACACACACCCCCAACCCAAACAGAGCCAGAACATCTGCCACAGGGGGGCACCTGCGAGTCCTTGGCTCACCTTCCACTCTTTCTCCCTGGCCGCTCCAGTGGTGTCTGCAAAGCCCAAGGTGCACAACCGGCAGCCTCGCATCAACTCGTACGTGGAGGTGGCGGTAGATGGGCTGCCCAGCGAGACCAAGAAGACGGGCAAGCGCATCGGGAGCTCCGAGCTGCTGTGGAATGAGATCATCGTCCTGTAAGACAAAGTCGTGTCTGCGGGACACTGCCTGGGGGCTGGGGCTGGCCGGGAGTCCTGCCAGGGTCCCGGGGCTCTGTCCCGGGCTTCTCCCTGAGCTCACAGAGGTCATTGTGAGCGGGGGACAGGCTCGGCGTTGGGGACAGGTCCGAAGCGCCTGACCTGTCCATCCCCCACCCCCACTCCCACCCCAAGATGTCAGCGGTGTAGTTCAACTGCTTTCTCTCACGTTCTGGGGGCAACACGAGTGGCGGGACATGATGAATCAGGTACTTGTTTTCCAGGAATGTCACAGCCCAGAGTCATTTAGATCTGAAGGTCTGGAGCTGCCACACCTTGAGGAATGAACTGCTAGGCACGGCCTCTGTCAACCTCTCCAACGTCCTGAAGAACAATGGGGGCAAAAGTACGTACAGGGGGGCGGCAGGGCTTCACAGCCAGGCGCCAGGCTGGGGCTTCTCGGTGACTAGAGGACGACCCACCAGAGCCAGGGGCCGTGTCCGGCCTCGGCCATGCTGTGCGCTCCGGGCCCAGGCGACCCTGTGTGCGCATGCGCGGGTTTAGCGCAAACGGCTGCGCCTGGGCTCCTGGGCGGGCACCGCGCCTCCCGGGGTGGCCGGGGCTGCTCGAGCTCCGCACTCGCTGCTGCCCTGTGCCGTGGCCTGGCTCAGAAACCTCATTGCGAGCTGCATGGGGGAGATCGCGCCTTCCCTTGGCGTCTGCAGCCTGTACCGGGTGCAGGCCTGCACACGAGCCGCCATGCCCAGCGCCTCCGCGCCGATTCTGCGCGGAACCTCATGGTGCTGCACCTGGCCTTCGGAAGTGGGCTTGATGTTCCCAAACCCTGGCCTACTTTTTGTGCTTTGATTATCAGAAGATGTTTATTGATTTATTTTTTTAAGAGCAGAAACTATTTACTGGGGGAAAGAAAGCGTCTGCCCGAGAGCCCGAAGGAGTCCTGCCTGGGTTGCCCTAGAAGGTCATATTTATTATGCTATTTGGAATTGTATTTTTGGACAGTCACACGTTAGGCTGCGGAACCAACATGAATGGCCTTTTCTTGCCTTGTAACATTTGTCTAGTCAACATAGGTATTTCCCTTGTTTGTGGCGCTGGTTCAGTCATTGGCCCTCACGCATGCTAGGCAAGTGTCCGGCTGCAGAGCTCCATCCTCAGTCCCAACCTATTTCAGGTTTGATTATAAAAGTAATTGTAACCAGGCAGTGGCACATGGCTGTAGTACCAGTTCTCAGAAAGCTGGGCAGGAAGATCGCTGCAAGTTTGAGACCAGTCTGGGCTACATAATGAGTTTAAGGCCAACTCCATAGTGAGACCTCGACTCCAAAAAACCCAGTCCCCCCCACCCCCGCACCAACGTAATTGTAGAAAACGGCCTGGTGGTGTTTGCTTGCAGTCCCAGCATGTGGGAGGCTGAGGCAGGAGGACTGCTGCAAATTCAAGTACAGCCAGAACGACATAATGAGACACTGTCTTAAAACAAACAAAACTAGAAAAATGGGAAATTACAGAAAATAACAAACAAAATAAAATTTATCTTTCAACCTAGGACATAAACACAGTTGTTGTTAACATTTTTATGTTTATACCCGTTTGAGCTTTTCTTCTTTTGTGCAGAAACATCAGTGCAGTGGTACGTAGGTTCATTAAGTTAATTTGTTCCATGAATCTGGGGAAGATGGCCGAGTTTATGATCATGCAGAGAAGGTGGTTGTGGTGTTTGTTTGTTACCTGATGCTTAGTCTGCAAAAGGAAGTAAATTTTTGCTGAACACTTCTGTTTGCAAACCTAATTGTTTGTGAACACTAACATTACATTATTTATGGCATCAGTGAAACAAAACGATCAGGCATGGTGGTGCACATCTGTAACCCCGCCACTCAGGAGGCAAGGGCAGGAGGATCACTATGAACTTGAGACCAGGCTGAGCTACAGAGTGAGACCTTGTCTCAGAGAAAGAAAAAAGTATTAAAAATGAAGAATGAGACCACACACGAACGTGTTGTTGTTGTTGTTGTTATTGTTATTATTGAGACAGGGTCTCACTGTGTAGTTCAGGCTGGGCTTGAGCTCATTTTGTAGCCGAGCCTGGTCTTGAACTTGCAAGGATCCTCCTGCCTCAGCCTCCCGAGTGCTGGGGTAACAGGCTTGCACCACCAGGTCTGGCCCTCGAACATATTATTTTGAAACATGCCTTTTTCTCAAAATATCTCAACATATATTTTTAATTTGATAAGATGTATATAGCATAAACTCTCCCACCTTAACCATTTTCATTTACAGGTCAGTGGCGTTAAGTGTATTTCCCTTATTGTGCAGCAGTCATCTCCTGCCATCCCCAGAATTATTTTCATTGTATAAAATTCGTCCTTGTTAAAGAATCACCTTTCTTGTCTCTCTTGCTAGACTGCCGAGTAGATGGAGATTTGCTTATTGATGGTTGAGGTGCTGAAATCCAAGGTCTTATGTATGTTAGGCATTTTGCTGCTGAGCTACATCCCCAACCCTAATTTTTTTTTTAAAATTTGGTACCAGGAATAGAGCTCAGATTTGAGTTTATCAGGCAACTGCTATGCCACTGGACTACGTCCCTGGTCCTAATTTTTTGTTTTTCAACACAAGGTCTTGCTATGCGGTTCAGACTGACCTTGAACTCATGTAGACCAGGTTGGCCTCAAACTCAGCAGTCCTCCTGCCTCAGCCTTCTGAGTGCTGGGATCACAGGCATACGCTATCACTTGTGGGTTCTCATTTTTCTTTTCTTTTTTTTTTTTTATCGGTACTGAGGATTGAACTCATGACTGCCTGCTTACAAGGTAGGCGCTTATGCTGCTGAGCTAAATCTCCAGCCCCTCATTTTTCATTTTTTTGAGGTATTGCTACGGTTTTCCATGGCTACTGTGTCATAACATGTATCAACATAGTTATTTTTTTAATTGAGACAGGGTCTTGCTGTGTATTCTAGGCTGGCCTTGAACTCACTGTATAGCCCAGACGGCCTCCAACTCAGTGATCCTCCTGTCTCAGCCTCTGGGTGCTGAGATTACAGACAAGTCCCACCACACCCAGCAACATATTTTAAGTTATCTTTCTAGAGCCCAATTTTTGATGACTACCTGGTAGTAATCTATTGTATAGCTGTGTGATAATTTAATGTCGAACATGTGAGTAGCTTTCAACATTTGGTAGTCATAAAGTCACAATAAACTTTTAAATTTCTAAATTTTTGCTTCTTGTTTAAAGCGTACTTAGGCTAAATTATCACATGTAGACTTGGCCAGGCTTAAATGTTTTTCAAAATCTTTGACACATGTTGCCAGATTATCCTCAGCAATTTAACCCCTCAGCATCAGGGGCTGAAACTGCAGGTTTCTATTGTACCTTGGTGTATGTTGGATATTATTTATTTAAAGAAAATATTTTTTTGCCTATTTGATGATTATTAACATTATGTCAGACTTGCTTCATCATTTCCTTTTTTTAAAAAAATTATTTCAAAGGAAATTATAGGTGTCCCTACATTTTCTCTGGATTCTTCAGCACACATTATAGGACAAGGGACCATTCGTTTACTGTGTGGCTTCCTCAGTTCATACTCGGTCACTGTGGACTCACCAATGCCTCCTTGCTTGGGTCAGATAAAGTCCCGCTTCTGTACCTCTGCTTTTATGCCGGGATTCATTGAAGGGTGCAGAAATGTTGCCCTATTAATGTGATTTGCTCAGTTTTATTTTCCAGTGTGTATTTTTCCTGTTTGACTTTGAAAGAGCTCTTTATATGTCAAGGCTGTTGGTCTTTGTCTTATTATTTGTAAATGTTTTTTTCCAGTTTTGCATTTGCATTTTACCCGCTTTTCAGTTGACCCGAGTGTTGCCAGGCAGCGCATTGCTCACATGCTGACCACCCTTGTTTGGGCAGGGGTCCTTTCAAACTGTCCATTCTTATATTGACTACATTTGATAAAACTTTCATTTTTATATTTCCTGTTATCTTATAAAAATTAATGAAAAATATTCATTTTTTGGTCACCCTGTATTTAAATAATTGGACTGGTAAATGATGAATTTTGTAGATTTTTTTCTTTCTTTTGTCCAGGGAGACGTTTGAAACGTTTTGCAGGCCAACTGTCTCCTTAGTCCATTCTGAAATCAGCTGTGTAGTCCTTTTTAGTTTTTTCTAGTTCTTTGTGATTTTGTTTTTCACATTTAATTCTTAACCAAATGTAATGTTTTGTACAGTGTGATTCAACTGTGGCTTTAGCACTACTTACCCGATAACCCACCTGTCCCTCATGACGAGGGTCACCGTGTAGCTGCCGCTGCCCCTCCTCCCCACCCGCTCCTCCTTAGCCTTTCCAGGTCACCACGGCTTGACGTAATCGTTGTGCTTTACTATTCGGCAGTTTGAGTTTCAGCTGTAATATCTTCCTGCCCCTTTTCTTTACATCTATGACATTTCTGCCTTATTTATATTATTTTTGGGATCTCTCCTTCTTTCCTCCATCCTTCCCTACCCCTTGAGATTTTATTGGAATCCTGTGTTATGTAAGATTAGTGTGCCGAAGAATTTTCATACTGAATCTTTGTACTCAGGGACATGAAATGTCTCGCAGTCTATTCAAATCCATTTGACATGTATCTCTAGATGGTTGTTTTTCCCCCTAGTGCTAGAGATTGAACAAACCCAGGACCTGATCCATGGTGGGCAAACAACTCCACCACTGAGCGCTACCCTAGCTTTAGGCTCTGTTTTAATTTTTAAAAGGTATTGATGTTATTTTTGATGGCCTCTTTCCTTATTAGAGCTTCTTATTCCTTGTTAGTAGATGGCTAGTAGTTTCTGCATTTTCTTTGATAATCAGCCTATGGTATTAATACAGGTTTTAGTAATTTTGGGAGTTTCCTTGGTAGTCATTTATGTGCTCTAAGACTGGTAATTTTGCTTGTCCTGAAAGATAATTCTTTTCTTGTTAGTAGCTTTGCTTATGGGTGTTTTGGTGAAGATGTAGCAGTGCCTCTATTCACTGTCTTTAGGTATAAATGTGAGTGTTAGACACCTGTCTTTTTGCTTTACTAGGTGGTGTGTGTGTGTGTGTGTGTGTGTGTGTGTAATCAAGAAGGGTGTTGAACTTTTATCAGATGTATTACAGTTGCTTAGAACTGCTTAAAGGCAACTAAGAGGGGACTAAATTAGTTTTCTATTTTAATTTGTTAAATTAAGTTCCCAATAGTAACAGTCTTCAGATTTCTAGAATTTACCTTATTTGAAGGTAAATCGTTCCTTGAGCAGGTTGTGATGACGCATGGCTGTATCCTCCGCATCCCTGATGCAGGAAGATCACTGAGTTAGAGGCCAGCCTGGGTTACATCGGAAGACCCAATCTGTTGG